AGAGACCAGGAGGAGACAGGTGGACAGGTGAGGAGACCAGGAGGAGAGACGTGGACAGGTGCAGAGACAGGAAAAGAGACATGGACAGGTGGAGAAACAGGAAGAGAGAGATGGATAGGTGAAGAAGCAGGAGGAGAGAGATGGACAGGTGGAGGTGAAGAGGCAGGAGGCGAGGAATCGGGTAGAAAGTTAGACACATCACAACACAGCAAAAAAGGAGACTCAATTAACCCGGATTAGGGGCATTAATGAGAGGACAGCAACCAGGATGTGAATCTCAAGGTTTGTGGAAAGTGGGGGGCATGTGATGGGGACACAGGCAGGAGGACCCTTGGGGTGGGGACCTTGGAGGAGGGACATTATGGAAGGCTGGCAAAGGGGGCAGGCTGTTATTGAGGAGAAATAAAGGAATGCTTTTGAGAAGGAGAAGGTCTGGAAGGCAGGGAGCTCTGGGCAGTGTGGGTGGGCAGTGAGGATCCTGAAAGAAGAAGATGTCCCCAGGAGAGGGAAGCCCAGAGAGGGCCTCACCAGTTCCATCCTCCTTCACCATGCCCAGCCCCTCTGCCTTGTTCTGTCTTTCGAAGGCATTGAGATCCAGGACACTGAGGGAACAAAGGAAGAGACAGGGACGCTATGATGAGGCCTCTGCCCTCCGCTCTTCCAGGGCCTCCTAGTCCCCACAGTGGAGGATGGAGACACAGGAAATCATATGTTTACCAGAATCATGAGGCAGCAGAAACCAAGTTGGAAGAATCAGCAAGGTAGTGGTTATGACAATGGTGGTTTGGTGGGGGAATTTTCACCTCCCATGCTGGAAACTCAGCTTTGGTTCCTGGTCAGTGTACCTCATGGGAACTCACCGCCCGTCTTGTCAGTGGAGGTTTGCGTGTCACTATGATTTGGTAGCGTAGTGGTTACAAATCGGGCTGTGAACCTTAAGGTCAGCTGTTCGAAACCACCAGCTGTTCTGTGGGAGAAAGATGAGGCTTTCTGCTCCCGTAAAGATTTACAGCCTCGGAATCCTTGTTCAGGGTCTCTATGAGTCGGAACCGATTCCACGGCACGTAACCACCCCTACCACCATAACGTTGAACAGGTTTCAGTGGAGTTTCCAGACTAAGATGGCCTAGCGATCATAAGTGTGAAAATCAGCCAATAAAATCCCCATGGATCACAATGGTGTCATCATTGTATTCCATGGTATTGGTCAACTTGATGGTGACTGACAAGAGGGGTGGAGAAAGTCAGTAGACAGCAAGAGAAGAAAAAAATGGCAGACCATGCCCACGATTCTGATTCATATCGGCCCTCTAGAGAACAGAGTGGAGTCCTGGTGCTGGCGTGGTACTGTAGGATAAGCACTGGACTGTTAATTGCAAGGACGGTGGTTCAAACCCACTAGCCACTCATTGGAAACCCTATGCAAGATCGCTATGAATTGGAACCAATTCGACGGTGCTTTATAATAACAAATAGGACAAAATAGAACTGATCCCTCAGGTTTGTTGTTGTTGTTGTTGTTAAGTGCCATTGAGTCGGTTCCGACCCATAGCGACCCTGTACAGGGTTTCCAGGGGTGTAAATCTTTACGGGAGTAGAAAGCCTCATCTTTCTCCTGTGGAGCAGCTGGTAGTTTCGAACCACTGACCTTAAGGTTCGCAGCCCGATTCGTAACCACTACGCTACCAGAGCTCTGGGACTAAATCTTCACAGGAGCGGACATTCTTATTTTTCTCCTGCAGAGTGGTTAGTAGGTTTGAACCACTGACCTTGCAGTTAGTCGTTAGCACCACCAGTGCTCCTTCATGGAAGACCACAGCAGATTCAAATTAATAGGGGTCATCAGAGAGAACCCACATTTGCAGATGCTGGGGTTCCCTTGAATTTTCAACAACCTTGCAGTTCTAGCCACCTGGAATCCATTCTACGCATAATTGTTGTTGTTGTTACGTACCGTGGAGTCAGTTCTGACCCATAGTGATCCTGCACAGGGTATCTGAGGCTGTAAATCTTTACGGGAGCAGAACACCTCATCTTTCTCCAGCGGAACTGCTGGTATTTTCAAACTGCTGACCTTGAGGTTGGCAGCCCGACTCGTAGCCACTACGCTACCTGAGTGCCTTTCTTAAATGCTGTGGCCTTCTTTCTCCCTTATAGTTCCATATGAATTCTTATAGTAAAGCTCGTGTTAGTTGGGTTACTCGGACTGGGTCTCTTTCATTGAACCAAGAGAGCAAAATGAGATCAGGAAGTGGTACCAGGAGTAGTGAGCACAGCTACTACCATCATCCAGACCTTAACAAGAAGGGGTACACTAAAAGAAAGAAGGGGTACACTAGGACCTGCCTGCATGTTTGCATCAGCGCCTGGATACTCTGGAAGAAGCCAACTTCTTTCTTGTCCTTCAGATAATCCAGCATTTTCTACAGAGGGGATGGGAGGAGAAGTCAAACTGGGGGTCATTCAAAGACCTTCCACCTTCCTCCCACCCCCTCCCAAAGCTCTGTTTCTGTTACCTGCTGCACCTCCGCATTGCCTCCATTCAGGATGGAGATGCCCAGCTTCAGGGTGGAGGAGACCATGGAGCCTGTTTCTCCTGCAGGGGAGAGAGGTGAGGCGGGGAAGCAGTCAAAAGATAGTCCACTCCATTTGGGGGCAGAGTTTCCCACCCAGGAACCGGCCATACTGTGGGGTGGAGAACAGGAGTGGAGGGGTTGGACCCACAATGGGCGGTACTGATGGAATTGCAAAGCAGGCGTGTAAGAGGCACATGCAGGGGCTGGGGTGTAAGTTCACGCAGGGGCAGGAATGTGGTCCATAAGGAATGGACGGACTGCTGAGGATGAGGGTAGCATAGGCCATGCCCTGGAGAGGCAAATGTGTGTGCCATGGGCACCTTTACAGGCGCTGATCATCTGCAACACCATCTCAGCGGCACCCCGGTTGTGCAGCCGTGCCTGCTGGTATAGGAGTCTCTGCTTCTCCATTTCCTTCTCCTGGAACAAAGAGAAGTCCGATGGGCAGTGAGCCAGACTGGACCTCCCAGCCTCTTCCCTCATAGCCTTGCCCTTACCCCTGTCCTCCAACATTCAGGCTCTACCACAGATTCTGACTCATTCCTTCAACTGTGAGCTGCCTCTGTCCCCTGAAGGTGGAGTTCTTGCTTTGTCTCTGGCCACTAGCACTGGGCCAGGCATGGACTGAGAACCCCATAAACCAGAGCTTCTTCAGCCGGGCTCATGCCCCCTACCCCATGTACCAGTGAATAAAAATCAGGGAGTCTGTGAATTTGGATGGGCAAAAGTTAACATCTATACTTAACCACCCTCTAACTGAAATTTTTATTTTTAGCATTTCTTTTCATTACAACAGGGCCATAAGTCTTAATAATATTGGTGGAATCTGTGATCTTTGTCACCGCTAGGAATCACTGATGTTTCCATAACACAGTATTGTTGGTACTGACATCTCAAAACATAGTTTATGTTCGTCACCACTTCTGTGTTTATTTTTTTTAACGTTTTATTGTGAATTGAGTGAAGGTTTACAGAGCAGATCATCAGTTTTACTTTACAAATCCTACACTTCGTCCATCTCATGATTGTAGACCCTTCATTGTAACATCCCTATCCCACCTCCCGCCTAGCATTCTTGTTTCCATTCCTCCTCCTTTCCCAACCTTCAGAATTCTGTGCTTAGGTGAATGCTGCCCTTTTCATCTTGAGTGGTTGGCCATTCTATGGTGTGTGTATTTCATTTGTGTCATTGTCCACTTTATTGGAGTCTTGGTGTGGCGCTGTGGGTTAATGCGCCAGACTGCAAAGCCGTTTGAACTGCAAGCTTGGCAGTTCAAGCTCACCAGCTGCTCCTCGGAAACCCTATACAGGGGCGCTATGGGTTGGAACTGACTCAACGTCACTTACCAACAATAATTGCTTGGCTGAAAATTGAGCCATGAGGGTGAGTTCAGTTCCAGAGCTGAAGGGTGACCAGGAGTCATAATCTCGGGGTTCCTGCAGTCTCTAGCTGACCAGTGAGGCTGATCTTTTTTAAAACGATACTGAGTTTTGTTCCGTATTTTTCCCACTCTTTCCATAATCTTCTAATGTGATCCCTTTCAGAGCCAGGCACCATCATCTAGTTCTTCTGGTCTCACTACTTCTCAATGACAGTCATTATTGGATTCACTACTAGAGCTTGTCATTTTATTCATTAATAAAGAAATCATATGAAGAGGCTTCAAAAAGTTCATGGAAAAATTGGATTTTCCCATAAACTTTTTTTTTAAGCAATGTGATATTTATTAGGCTTCAAAAGTCATAATTTTGTCTACAAATCCCACTCACTGTAAAAATGTAGAGCATAAGACAATGGGATTAAAAATGTCACTATCTCCTGATGTTTTAGACAGCCACCTGGACATCATAGAAAATTCAGAAAGACATTGGCCAGTTACATAAAGAATTTATGATGTTAAGTTGATTACTTAAATAATTTTAAAATGTCCTCCCTGGGATCTGAAAGAAATCTTCCACAATAGCAGCTCCAGTCTCAGTGACATTGGTGACAAGCAAAAGAATGTGTCAGAAGGAGCAATGAACTTGGCTCTAATCTTTGTAAGTACAAATTCCTATTACCTCCTCTCTGATGCTCTTCCTGGCTTCATGAGCATTGTTGACTTCAGTCTTTAGCATCATTGTTGGCAAGCAAAAGAAGGTGCCAGAAGGAGAAATTGCTAGGCTCTAATCGGGCTGCGAACCTTAAGGCCAGCAGTTCGAAACTACCAGCCGCTCCGCGGGAGAAAGATGAGGCTTTCTACTCCCGTAAAGATTTACACCCTCGGAAACCCTGTACAGGGTCGCTATGGGTCGGAACCGACTCGACGGCACTTAACAACAACAACAACAACAATCTTTGCAAGTGTAAATTCATTTTACCTCCTCTCTGATGCTCTCCCTGGTCCCACAAACATTTGTTGCCTCCAGTCTTCTGTGTGGCTATGTGCCGAGTTCATATCACAGAACTGGTTACATTGGATCAAACTAGAAATATCCATCTCAGTCATTGTTGAGGAGTTTTGCTGAGAATGTTACTTCCCAGTTCCTTACACTCCCATAAACTTTTTGAAACCTCTTTGTATTACTATGTTCCAAATTGTTTTGTTTTTTAATATTTTGGTAACCATTGCAATGTACTTAGTTCCTCTAATCCTATGAATTTCTTCTATTTAGTTAGTTCATTTTTTAAAAGTAGTTTTTTAACATTTTTATACCGATCCAAACAGACGTTTATTTAATGCCATTTTCATAGATGCACGGACTCAGTGAAGAGAATGACGTGAGCTTATGAAGGGTTTTGTAGCTTTTGACAATTTCCAGCTAGTTTTTCAGTTTGCGTTTCACTTACTTCCCCAGATCACAGGCTGTTCTGTTCCTCTTCTACCATTTTCCTCCTAAGATCTGCCTCTGATATCCATAGTTATTCACTTACACTGGGGATTTTGCCTTATGAATAGATTGTATACATTTAACAACCTGATTCTGAGAAAGTCTGCACCAGATGCCAGAGGGCACAGTTAAGGGTACGGATCCCTGAAGCAGATGCTTGCTGGTGGCTTGAAGGAATAGATGAATGGATTCACTGCATGTCTACTGCCCCCTTCACTGTGAGCCTCTGCATGTGCTGCTCCCTCCACCTGGAACACCGACCTCCTTTTCTTCAGCTACCACACGCCTTTGTCCTGCAGCCCAGAGATCACCTCCTGGGAAAAACCTCCTTGATACTCAACCTCTGTGGGGACCAGGCGCCTCATCTGGGCTTCTCTAGCCTCTCTGCCTATGCTGATCTCATTACCTCCACAGATACTCTTTGCTGTCAGTGTCCGGTAACGTGTCTGTCTCCCCGGTGACCTGTCACTGCAGTGTCCCCCCCACTGCCCGGCAGCTGGACCTTGAGCACTGGTCTGTGAAAAGGAGCTAAATAAATGGTGGCTTGCTGAAATCAAGAGTCTTCTGAGCCCACCTACCTCAAAGGAAACCTCAACCTCTTCTTCACCTTCCACTCCCTCCTCTGCTTCCTCCAGATGGCAGCTCTGGAAACGGGATATCAGTTAGGGTTGATGGTGAACAAAGATGATACCGCAGTCCACTCCTAAGCCTTTCAATGGGCTGGCGCTGGAGCTGGGGAGCAGGGAATGGGGTCTGGATGGGACAGGGCCTCACCTTTGCCATGATATCAGCATATGCCATATACAGGTAATCCTCGTCCAGTTTGCTGAGGAAGTAAGCGGGGTTACAGTCAGGAGCCATGGGAGAGGACCCCCATCTTATAACAACTGGGTTTATTTTCCTTTGGTGCGTTGCCCCGCCCTGTCTTTAGGCTGTGGTTCAGGTGGGTGGACCCTGGGCCCCTTGCCAGAGTTGTTAAGTGCCCTCAGGTCAGTTCCAACTCATAGCAACCCTATATAGTATTTCTGAGGAGCAGCTGGTGCACTTTGAACCACCAACCTTGCAGTTCAACTGACTTCGCAGTCCAGCGCATTAACCTGCAGTGCCACACCAGGACTCCAGTACCAGAGCGGCTTCTGAGAAAGGCATTTTCTATCTGTTTGATAATAGTAATAAGTCAAGGATGGTCATGTGATTTATACTGGGGAAACAATTCATTATGGGAGTTTTGGTGTGACGCTGTGGGTTAATGTGCTGGACCATAAAGTCTGTTTTAACCACAAGGTTGGCAGTTCAAGCTCACCAGCTACTCCTTGGAAGCCCTATATAGGGTCGCTATGGGTCGGAACCGACTCGACGGCACTTGACAACAAAATGGGAGCTTTGCTGAAGCTATTGGTAAAGGTGGCTCCAGCGGATAAGTAATGGACTGTAAATCTTATACAGGGTAGCTGTGAGTTGAAACGGACTCCACAGCACTTAGCAACAACAAATAACAATTGGGAGAGGTAGGGAGTGTGGTGGCACTGGACTATGATAAGCACTGGACTATGAAACAGACTTGGTGGTTCAAGCTGCTCTGCACAAGAAAGATGAGGCTTTCTGCTCCCTCAAAGATGTACAGCCTCAGACACCCAATACAAGGTCGCTGTGAGTCAGAACCAACTCGACAGCACTTAACGACATTGGCAGAGCTTCTCTCTTGCTACTTGGCTGTTGAAATGATGTAATGGCATTCTGGAGCTTCTAGGCCAATCTTGCCACACTTTAGCTCACTCAACAGCTATAGCCAAACACCTCCTTCTTGTTGTTAGGTACCATCAAGGCAGTTCCGACTTGTAGTAGCCTTGTGTACTACACAACACAACCCTACCCGGTCCTGCGCACAATTGTTCCTATGTTTGAACCCTTTACTGTAGCCACTGTGTTGATCTATCTCCCTGAGAGTCTTCCTCTCTTTTGCTGACCCTCACCCAAACAGGATGTCCTTCTCCAGGGACTGGTCCCTCCTGATGACATGCCTAAAGTAGGTGACTTTCAGTCTCATCATCCTCGGTTCTAAAAAGCATTTGGGAAGTACTTCATCCAACACAGATTTAGTCATCCTTCTGCCAGCCCATGGTGTCACCATCATTCAAAGGCATCAATTCTTATTCGGTCCTTAGTCACTGTCCTGCCTCCACCTGTATATGAGGTAAATGAAAATACCGTGGTTTGGGTCAGGTGCACCTTAGTCCTCAAAAACCGACAGCTTGTCTTTTTAATACTTTGAAGAGGCCGTTTGCCATAGATTTATCCAATGCAATGTTATTTAACTTCCTGACTGCTACTTCCATGGGGCTTGATTGTGGATCCAAGAAAAATGAAATCCTTGACAACTTCAACTTTTCTCCATTTAGAGTGATGCTGTTAATTAGTCCAACTGAGGATTTTTGTTTTCCTTATGTTGAAGTGCAATCCATATTGAAGGTTGTGTAGTGTATATTGAAGACCTTTGATCTTCATCAATAAGTGCCTTAAGCCCTTTTCACTTTCAGCAAGTAAGGTTGTCATCTGCATATCATAGGTTATAAATGAGCCTTCCTTTAATCCTGAGGCCACATTCTTCTTCATATAATCCAGTTTCTCAGATTATTTGCTCAGCATACAGATTGAATAAATATGGTGAAAAGGTACAACCCCGACACATACCTTTCCTGATTTTAAAGCATGCAGTATCCCTTTGTTCTGTTTGAACAATTGCCTCTTGGTCTATGTATAAATTCTGCATGAGCACAAATAAGTGTTCTGGAATCCCCATTCTCCCCAACATTATCTATAATTTGTTAGGATCCACACAGTTGAATGCCTTTGCATAGTCAATGTAACACAAGTAACATCTTTTTGGTATTCTCTGCTTTCATTCAAGATCCATCTGATATCAGCAATGATATCTCTCATTCCACATCGTCTTCTAAATCTGGCTTTAATTGTTGGCAGTTCCCTGTTGATGTACTGCTGCAATCATTTTTTAATGATCTTCACATTTTTACTTCCATGTGATGTTAATGACACTGTTGAATAATTTCTGCATTCTGTTGAATAACCTTTCATTGGAATGGGCATTAATACGGATCTCTTCAGTTGGTTGGCCAAATTTCTGTCTTCAAATTTCTTGGCACAGATGAGTGAGCCCCTTTAGAGCTTCATCTGTGTGTTGTACTATTTCAACTGGTATTCTACCATTTCCTGGAGTCTTGTTTTAAGTCAGTGTCTTCAGTGCAGATTGGACTTCTTCCTTCAAGAACCATTGGGTCTTAACCATATGTTACATCTAGAAATGGCTGAATGTCAACCAGTTCATTTTGGTACAATGCTTCTCTATTCTGTCCATCTTCTTTTGATGTTTCCTGCTTCATGCAACATTTTGTCTGTGTTGTTGTTATTAAGTGTTATTAAGTCAGTTCCGACTCATAGCGACCCTGCATAGGGGTTCTAAGGAGTGGCTGTTCAGTTTGAACCACAGACCTTGCGGTTTAAACTGACTTGAGGTCCCACAGTTACCCTATAGCACCACACCAGGACTCCATTTTGTCTATAGAATCCTTAAGTATTCCCTTCTAAGACTGAAACTCAGAGAACCCATAAGCACTCTAGTATGCTTGCTGGTGACTACCCTTGTCTAGTTGTGAGTGGAAGTGGGGGAAATGTAGCAATGAAGACATGGGCTGAGTTTGGGCATGTTCCATTGACACTTGTTGCCTTTGAGATGAGAGAGAGAAGAGGAAGGGCTGGCTGGTCTGAAGTTTAGAGAGATCTGTGAACTCCTGAGACCAAGGGCACTGACCTAGCCACTGGGTGCTAGAGTTGACAGTGAAGCAGCCCACTGGTCCGAAGTGTGGGGAGGCATGTGTGAACTCTTAAACTTGCAACTAGTACCCACTGACCTAGCTTGGTTGGCTAGCCGATCAGAACGTGACCAGATGCAGACAAAGATGCTTCATACAGTGAACAAGTCTAAATTGCTAAAATTTGATGAACTGGACCTTTGCTTATGGATGCAGTTGCTCAAAATTCCAACTGAAACGGAAGGATTCTTCATATCAAGGATCAAGTTTGTTTTCTTAGTGCACTGGGTTGATAGGAACAGACAATTTAGACACTGGCTACCAAAAATGGTGAGATAAAAAGGCATAAAGTGGCTGGCTTACAAGCCTTCACCAGTGTGCTTAGTTTCAGAATGAGGAGGGTAATATAGAATCCCCACCAAATAGTTTTCCTCTTTTCCAGATGGATCTGGTGAAAGCGGATGGAGGATGATGCTGATAGGATTTCATGATTCAATGGTGAGTAATTATTAATAGGATTAATTGCAAATGTCACAACTGTAATTGTAGAAGATGTATAACTAAAAGGAGGAAGTAGTTAATCTTTTGTTTTAGGAACAGAGGATCCCAGGACAATCAAGAAGGAAGCAAATGAGTGGAGAGTGAGACCCTACCTAGCAAAGCAGCGACAGCAGAGATGGTGACAGAGGCGATGGCCTGGAGAGAAAGCAGCTGTGGGCTATAGACCCATGGACTGTGAGAGGCTGTGTGCCTGCTGGCAGGAGGCTGACTTGCAAAATGTGCCCTTTGGACATTTAAATGAATATAGATTTTTTTTTTGCAGATGTACATCAAATATTTTTGCTTTGTTGATAAGTGAATAATAAATTGCAAAAGGAAAGCCACAGGGAGGAAGCAGGATAAGTAGTTACAAGGAGGTGAGTGTAATTATTTAGATGAATCAAATGTATGATTGGTTGCAAGTAAAACTGATGATCTTGTCTGTTAACCTTCACTCACTTCACAACAAAAAATTAAAAAAAAAAAAAATCTTTAAATATTGCAACTTGAAGCTTGAATTGTTTTAAATTTTTTTAGCTTGTGAAATGCCAAGCACGTGCTTCCCTTTAGTTTTCTACTCTGAGTCTTTGCATATCTTATTATGATACTTGACTTTGACGTCTCAAGCCGCCCTCTCAAATCTTCTATTTAGCTCTTTTCCTTCATCATTTCTTCCTTCAACTACAGCTAGCATAGTGGTTACGAATCGGGCTGCGAACCTCAGGGTCAGCAGTTCAAAACTACCAGCTGTTCTGCAGGAGAAAGATGAGGCTTTCTGCTCCCATAAAGATTTACAGCCTCAGAAACCCTGTACAGGATCACTGTGAGTTGGAACCGACTCCGCGGCACATCACAACAACAACAACATTCTACTTTCAAGAGTAAGTTTCAGAGTCTCCTCCACTTGAGTGTTTTCTTTCTTGCTTGCTTTTTAAATGACCTGTTGGTTTCTTTGTGTTTTGTTGATCTCGTTGTCTTTTCCTTGGTTCTTGTCTATAATAGTAATACTAATGACACACTGGTGTGGCGCTGTGGACTAATGCGTCAGACTGCAAAGTCGTTTGAAATGGAAGGTTGGTGGTTCAAGCTCACCAGCTGCTCCTTGGAAACCCTATACAGGGTCGCTATGGATCAGAATCGACTTGACGGCACTTAACAACAACAATGACATACTTATTGGGGAGTGCAGTGGCTTTGTTAGATAAGCACTGAACTGGGAATCACAGGTCAGTGGTTCGAACCCACCAGCTGCTCTGTGGGAGAAAGGTCAGGCTTTCTGCTCTCGCAAAGATTTACAGCCTTAGAAACCCTATGCAGGATTGCTATGAGTTAGAACTGACTTGATGTGATGGCACTTAACAACAATACTTACTGGAGGGAGCATTTATCCTATATAGTCCCTATTCTAAGTGTTTTACATACACTAACAAAATCAACCCTCAGAGTAATCCTACCAGAGGGTCCACGGGAAAAAGGAAGACCCTCAGTGAGATTGGTTAACACAGTGACTTACTTCAACAATGGGCTGGAACAGCAATGATTGTGAGGATGGTATAGCACCAGGCAGTGCTGTGTTGTGTTCTGTTGTTCCTAGGGTCGCTATGAGGAGGAACCGACTCGATGGCACCTAACAACAGTAACCCTATTATGTAGGCACAGTACTAGCCTCATTTTACAGATGAGGAACATGAGACACAACGATACCTCTTGGCCAGAATCACATACATGTCAAGTGCTCAGCCTGGTGTCTGACACATAATAGTTACTTGATAAATGTCTGCCATTACCATCAGCAGCAGCAGCCTTATTACTATTGTTTATCCCCAAGACTGCCGTTAGCTCATGTGAAGCCTTTACGTGCGTTAGAAAAAGGCCTGCCTTCCTCACTTCCATCAGCTGGAACTGTGTCCTACATACTATGCTGACTGTCTTTGAGCAGGATACTTCCTGTCGGAGAATCCTAGTAAACCTACATTGCCAGTGATGTGAATCCCTCAGGAAGAGACACCTTTGTAAAGTGCCCAGCCTTCATGGCTGTCCTGCCTGTCCCAGTAAAGTGATGAAAACATCAGCAATGGACTCTCCCAGGACATCCAGAGGTTGCTGGAGGGGTAGGGTGGGGCTGAGTGTCTTCCCCAGGGTCCCCGGGGACATCACTAATACTCAGGAAAGGGTCTTCACCTCTTTTCAGTCAGAGCAGTGCGACTGAAGTGCAGGACCAGCTGGTGCAGGGGGTCTGGCTTCTTCTCTTCCTCTTCTTCTTCCTCTTCCTCTTGCTCGCCAGCTTTCTGGAAGGGTGGATGTGAGGCTTGTGAGCAGGGTTTTTCTGAGTTCCCTCCTCAGCACTACTTTGCTGGATTTTTTTTTTTTTTTTTCTCTTCCTCCCATCCTGTCCTCTTTTCTGGCTCTGTTCAAGCCAGACCTGTACTGCAACCAAAAAACAATAACAACAGCAAACAAACCAAACACACGGAGTCTGATTCCGGCTCATTGAGACCCTGTGTAGGGTTTCCAAAGCTGTTAAATCTTTCTGGGAGAAGATAATCTTATCTTTCTCCTGGAGAGCAGCTGGTAGGTTTGAACTTTCAACATCCAGGCCCTACCATTTCCATAAACTTCAATATGAAGGGCGAAGGCTAGTGGTGCCTAACTGGCGCTTCAGGTCCCCAGCCTTCTCCAGATCACCCACACCTCCCAGTCCCACCCCAGGCAGGCTCCCGCTCACTGAAAGATCATCTATCATACGGTCCTCAAAATTATGGTCTTCAGTGACGATCCATGCAGCCTTGTAGCTTTCTAGGAACATGTTACATGCCCGGTGCCTGCAAGGGAAAGGTGTGGTGGTGTCCCTGAGATCCCATGCCCATCCCCTAGCCCGTTCTGGCCTCCCACGCATCTGCCTCCCCACCAAAGCTCCGGATCCAGCCATTCCCCAACACCAACATCCTCCAGCCTTCTTCTCTCCACGGCCCTCTTCCCTGGGAGCCTTACGTGGGCAGGTTGTACAGAGGGGTCATGCGGAAACAGGCTACGACCGCCCGCCGGCGCTGCTTGGACAAGAGTTTGTGCCACACGGCTTTCTTGGACTTGTAAGGATGCTCTGTCTGAGGAATGGGGCAAACAGTCACATCCATGGGCCCTGTCTCTGGTCTGATTTTCACTCCTACCCCCAGGTGAAACAGCCCACCTACACCCAGGTCCGAATTCTGGCCCCACTCACAAAGCCAAAGGGAACATCCGGATTCCACCAGCTGAGTTAAGGTTCTGACCCAAGCTCCGCTTTCAGACAGAAGTTTCCATCCTAGGGCCCGCCCACACACTAAATGTTCGGATCCAGGCTTGATCCCACACAGTGCACTGACTGGAGACATCCCGTTAGGCCCCACCCACAGAGTTAAGGCCCCGCCCCGGAGTCTGTTTCAATTTTGACTTCTACTCAAGGCTCCCCCACTAACCTAAGCCCCACCCCTCCGGCCCGGTACACAGGTTCATCTTTCCCTGGTCCCACGCCCCAGATTCAGGGCCCGCCCCAGACCCCGCCCATAAACCCAGGCTTCGGCCACTCAGCATTAAGAATCCTCCGGCTCCGCCCACCTGCTCCAGATGGTAAAGCACAGCGGACACTTCTTGGACTCTGCGCACGATTTTCTCGGGGTCGTCGGCCTCCTCTTCGCGGCCTGGAAGACCCCGATACAGCGCCATCTGCCAGCGCAAAGAAGGGGAGCCTTCGACCTGAGAAGAGGAAGGAAGGTCGCAGCTGATCTGGCTATACGCCGCCCTTGGTGTAGTGTGGGGATTTAGTGGGCAAGGGCGTTAAGTTCTTTCGTTGGAAGTCTGATACAAAGTCAGTGCTCAAATATCAGCTGCTATTGTATTATCTCGACCTGCCTCTTTCGATTGCAGATTAGGAGAGACATACCTTGCCTTGAAGGTGAAGGTTATTTTGCAGAAACTCCCGGACCTCCTCATCTGTGTCTTTCTGTGGAGACACGGCCAGGCTGGGTTACTCTGGGGAACCCTTGACCCACAACCCTTCCCTTCCCGGCCCGCCACCCCAGGACCTGGCAGGAGGTTTGTGTGGGAAGATTTGAGGGAAACTGGGAGGCTCCAGAGGTCAGGAGTGGTCAGAGGGGTATCGTAGGACCAGAGGGCCACAGAGGCACCTTGAAGAGACCGTGAGGATTTGAGGGGCATCATGGGGGTCTGAGAGAGGGCAAGGGTGACAAGAGCAATGTCACCAAAATGAGTCTAAAGAGGGATTATCAGAAAGTGGAAGATGGGCAGGGAGTTTCTGAAGATAGAAGGGCTTGTAAGGGAGTTGTGGTTATGTGCCGTGGAATCGATTCTGACTCACAGTGACCCTGCACAGGGTTTCCCAGGCTGTCAGTATTTACGGGAGCAGAAAGCCTCATCTTTCTCCCGTGGAATGGCTGATAGTTTCGAACTGCTGACCATGAGATTAGCAGCCCGATTCGTAACCACTATGCTACCAGAGCTGGGAGGGTCAACAAAAGTCGCCAGGAGATCTAGGTTAATCAAGTCACTGGTAAAGATTGACAGACCAGGGTGGGAGTTCCTTAGGGTCCCAGGAAAGGGGCATCCTCAAGTACCAGGATGAGGGGTCTTTGGGGTTCTGGTAGGATTCAACAGGTTCTAGAAGGCATTTGAGGTCTGAGGAAAGGGACTTTGGGATCCTGGGAAAGGGGACCCTTGTGGTCTCCCGGGCCCAGAGGGGCTTGTAGGAGTCAGGGTGCTTGGTAGGGTCCTGGAAGGAGAACTCTAGGAGTCTCGGATCTCTCCTCTAGATCCCCCTTAAGCCCTCTGGAATCCCACGGAGAGGTCACCTGGTCCCAGGAGATCTGAAAGATGGTTGAGGTTTTTGCATGGACATTAAGAGGGTGTTGTTAGGGTCCTGGGTGGGGCTAGAGAATCTTTGGGGGCTCAGTGTGGTCATCAGTCAGGGCTTGGGGGCGCAGCAAGGTGGTGAGTTGGAGAACTCCATGGGGACACAGAGCTTCAGTTACAAGGGTCTGGGGAAGGGCCAATGGAGTTATGAGGGGCTCACAGGTTCCCAAAGGGTTTTGGGTTCCTAGTAGATGGCTCAGATGAATCTCATGGGACTCAAGGTCCTGGCAGGGTTGGCCTGGTCCAGGAGGGAAAATTTCCGTAGGTATCCTGAAGGCTCAGTGTGGTACTAGAGGTTGACTCCTTGGGTCCCATGGAGTTCACTAAGGTCCTACAGCATTTAATAGGCTCCCAGGTGTCATAGTGGCAGTCCTGGTGTCTCAGAGGAGTACCAGTTAGAGTTTGTAGTGCCCCCCCCCCAGGTCCCAGGCATGTCCTGAGTGGGATCCTCAGCTTCCTGGGGGTGGACTCAGGGCATCCTAGGGGGCTCAATGTCTAGAGGAAGCGCTCAGCAGGGCTTTAGGGGAGGGGTTCAAGGTTACTGGGGATTTAATAGGGTCCCACAGGCTTAGTGGGGCTGGACAGGCACCAGGGCGTAGCGGATCTTGGCCAGCGTGATGAGTTCCTGGTCAGTGGGCGCACACATGTTCAGGCCAATGGGCAGCATTTTCTTAAGCGTGGCCACAATCAGCGACGTCTGCACTGAGTAGCGGTCCCCTCGACGCTTCTTCTTGGTTCGCTCCTGGTCTGAGCCACCTGACTGTAGGAATACAGGGCTTAGTGCTGGCTAGGGCGCCAGCTTCACTTGGCTCTGTGCCCCAACCCAGTCAGTGCCCATACGCCAGCCTGCAGCCTGGATGCCAGGCACCTCCTCACCTCAGAGCACATCTCGTTTTCTACCCCATAACTCTCTGATGCTTTACCTCAGACCCCAAACCCTGGTCCTAGACCATCCCAGGCCCAAGCCCCCATCCCCAATTCTCCCAACTTCTATACCAAACCATTTGAGATTCTCCCAAACCTCAGCCTTTCTCATCCTCTAAGGAGCCCTGGCTGTTATTGTGAAGTGCCATCCAGCCGGATCCAACTCATAGCGACCCTGTATAGAGTTTCCGAGGAGCAGCTGGTGAATTTGAACTGCCAATCTTGTGGTTCAAACTGAACTTGTAGTCCAGCACATTAACCACAGCATCACACCAGGACATGGATTATAAACCAGGCTGCTAACCACAAGATCAGCAGTTCAAATCTTGCTCCATGGGAGAAAGATGAGGCTTTCTGCTCCAGTAAAGATTTACAGCCTCAAAATCCTATATAGAGTTGCTATGAATCAGAACGGACTTGGTGGCATGCTACCACCACCACCTCAACGTCTAGCAGCCCTCTCCCAGAACCCCCTAAAACTCCCTGTATGTTTTCCCCCACCCATCCCATTACATGCACAACCCTACATTTCATATTCCAAGACCAAAACCCCAAGAATACAGATGCAGAGTCACAAAGAGTCCCAAGAGACAAAAGACGCGGGAAGAAAAAGAGTACGAGAGGCACAAGGAGACGGAGCTAGAAGATGCAGGAGAGATCCAGAAGGATCTGGAGACAGGCACAGATCCTTAGCCTCCACAGCCATGTTCTGGAGCGTTGGTCCAGATCCGTGGTTGGTGCCACCCCAGTCATGCTAGTGACAAGCCCCAGTGACAAGCTTCGGCCAGAGCCACATCCACACTGGATCGAGCAGGGCCCATGTGCCAGGCACTGCTGAAGGCCATACATGCAGCATCTCGGAGTCCTTGTGGAGCCCTGGGGCTCAGGGCCACGCATGGTCAGATGCTGGCAGAGGCTCAAAAGGATACGACACGTGGCCAAGGTCACACAGCTAACTCCCAACAGAGCCAGGGTTCTAACACAAGTCTGTCTGATTCCAGAGACCAAGCCTTCCAATCATGCACGTTCCTTCCCACCCATGTCCTCCTGGACCTCAGCTCATGATGCTTTGATGCTTCGGCAAAGCCAAGATTTTATTTATTTTTTTTAAACAAGAAAAAAAAAATCAAATAGTCAGAAGCTGAGAGCTGGGAGGTAAATGAATGGGGTGGGGAATAGATGGAACAAGGATAGGAAGTGGGTAAAGGAGCAGGGAGAGGGGTATTCTGGAAGGGGGGCTGGTGTGGGAGGATGGGGGTATGAGCCACGAGCCATGCGGAAGGTTCCAGACGTGGGGCTGACCTGTACATCTCCTGTCTGCTTCACCGGGTTGCAAACAGAGACAAGAAGGGTTACCCCAGCCCCTCAAAGAATCCCAGGCCCAATTTCAAGTTGGCTGCACCCACCTCATCTGTTCCCCCACCCCCACCCCCACCATGCATCCCCTAGCTGGGCATTTCCAGACCTTGGCTGAAGGGGTGAAAGGTTGCTCTTTTGGACCTGAAGAGGGAAGTTCTGAGAAGGCTTGGGGTTGAGGTGAGGCAGGAATATGGAATAATGGAGAAGTGGGAGATGGGAGAGGAGGGTTCTGGGAGGGAGGGAAAGAGGATGGAGATGGAATGGAGAGTGATGGGGAGGAAAAGGGAGGTGGGAGGAGAAGATGGTGGGGGTGGGGAAGAAGATGGGGAAAGGAGAAAGATGGGGGAGGAAGAGGAAGGTGAGAGGAGATGGGGAGGAAGAAGGCAGAGGAAGACGAATAGAGACGGAGAGGAGGAGGATGGGAAGAAGAAATCGTAAGGGAAGGAGGTATAGGATACAAGAGGGAGGAGGTGGTGGGAGAGTAGAGGAAGGGAGAAAGAAGGCGGAAGGAAGGCTTACAGGAGGACGGAGATGGGAAGGGGGCTGCTCTGAGGGCTGACAGGGACGAAGCCCTGGAGGGTGCTCCCCCCAGCCCTACAAAGCCCTCCTCCCAGGACAGAAGACCCACCTTGGCCATCTTGCTCTTGTTGTCAGCAGTCAGAAATGACATGTTGTTGATTTCATTCTGGACCACAAAGTTCTGCTCTTCACGTTTAAAGTTCTAGTGGGGAAGGCAGTATTGGGATCAGACAAACTGGGGTGGGGGTGTATTTGTGGGGAGCAGCTTCTTGGGTCTGAGACAGGGCAGTGAGGACCAGACTCACGTGGGACTTGGACCAGTAGATGAAGATTTCGCCCACCATCCTGAATAGCTCTTCAGCATTGGAGTTGGGCTCTGTCAGCCAGTGTGCCCTGGACAGTAGGGGGAAGGGGCCTGTGAGGACTCGGGGTGGGGATACCTAGGGAAGGAGGCCACACAGGAAGATTGCAAAGGAGGGGGAGTCCAGGACACCAGGAGATGCCCAATAGGAAGAAGAGTTTTCTAGAGTAATGTGGCCATTTGGATGAAAACTGAAAAATTTTAAATGGCCATTCCTCTTTACATTTTTTTCCTCTTTTTCTTGAAATGCAACATACATAAAAAGAAGTGTCAGCTTGTGAGCATCCACTCAATAAATAATCGCAAAAGGGACACATTTATGCAGCCACCGTGGTCCTGGTGTGACGCTGTAGAATAAGCGCTGGATTGCAAGATCAGCGGTTCAAACTCACCAGCCATTCCTTGGAAACCCTATACAGAGCCACTATGAGTCGGAACCGACACGATGGTACTTAACAACTACAACAATGTGACACCACCGACCAAGTTAAGAAATAGATCCAGAAGGTCTAGTCTCCTGGTGCCCCGCCCCAGTGAATCAACCCCCCGCCACCCCATTCGGTCCCCTTGAATCCTGGCCTTTATCTCAACTGCTAGAACCAGACATTATCTGTGTGTATTCTCAAACTTTCAGGAGCTCTGGTAGCTTAGTGGTTACAAGTCAGGCTGCTAATCTCAAGGTCAGCTGTTCAAAACTACCAGTGGTTTCGCAGGAGAAAGATGAGGCTTTTTGCTCTGGTGAAGATATTTACAGCCTCAGAAACCCTACACTCGATGACATATAACAACAACAAAGCTTAAAAAAGTAATCCTGGTGTAGTGTTGTAGGATAAGCACTGGCCTAGGTTCAAACCTACCAGCCGTTTCTCAGAAACCCTATACAGGGTCGTTATGAGTTGGAACCGACTCAATAGCACTTAACAACAACAACAAATCTTTTTATAAAGGAGCCCTGGTGATACAGTGGTTAAGTGCTTGGCTGCTAACTGAAAGGCCGGGGGTGGGAACCCACCAGCCACTCTGAGAGAGAAAACTAGCTGTCTGCCTCTGTCAACATTATACCCTTGGAAACCATATGGGGCACTTCTATTGTGTGCTCTAGGTTTACAAGTCAGAATGTAGTTTAGTAGCAGCGCGTACGTTTAAAGAAGGCGCCCTGGCAGCGCAGTGGTTAAAGCACTTGGCTGCTAACACAAAGTTTGTTGCTTTGAATCCACCAGCCACTCCACTGGAGAAAGATGCACCAGTCTGCTTCTGTATAGATTGTTGGTTTTTAAGTGCTATCGAGTTGGTTCCAACTCATAGTAATCCAGGGTTTCCAAGGCTATCAATCTTTGCGGGAGAAGAAAGCCTCATCTTTTTCCCATGGAGTGGCTGCTGGGCTCAAACCATTGACCTTATGGTTTACAGTCCAGTGCTTATCCTACAGACCCACACTGCTCCCTGTGGAGCAGTGCTGCCCTGTCCTTTAGGGCCTCTCTCTGTGGATTGGAATTGATTGGACAGCTATGAGTCTGTTGAAGTTTAAGCTTAAAAGTCAGACAAGTGAGGGAGGGAAAGGAGGGGGCTGCCGCAGAAACCCTCCTCAGGCTGACAGGATTCATTCCAGTTCAGCCTTCTGGGGTGGGCAGGCTCCCATCTCTGTCCCTTTCTGCTTACACATTAAGGGAGACAAAACTAGACTCAAGTTCATAGACCTGGAAGGAAGTAGAGATTTGCTTCTCCCTTCAACCTGTTGTCACAAGTCAGTTCTGACTCCTGGCCATTTCATGGGTCTATAAAACCCAAAGAGCAGATCCAGGGTGAGTCAAAGTTATTTACGTGTAATTTTGCTAGCTATGCCTTGTGACTAAATGAAACAGCAGTGGATAACAATCAGGTTTAATCAACGCCTGGTGCAGCAGTTAGGTTGTGTGTAGGCCACCATTTCCCATTTCTGTTCCCGTGACAGACAGAGCTCATCAATCACAGTTCTCTTTCTCACTAAGTCCCAGTGCACCCTTGATATCATCTCCTACCAGGATAGAACATGACAAGGAACTAAAACTGATTCTCCATCCCAGGATTCAGCTGGACCTACGAGTTCATGATTCATTACACAGTGCTGCTGATTTTAAGGAGAGTTTGCAATTGGCTGATGGCTGTGCTTGTCCTTTTATTGAAGATCTATGCTTCTAGGGAAAATCAGACAGCAGGTCTATACTGTCTTCCTTTCTTTCTATGACTAAGGAAGGTCTGACTGTTTGCTGCACTGCACAAAGTGGACACAGTAAAGCTCCTTACAACAGACACTCTGGATGGTGCAGGGACTGGATGCAGGTTTAAAGGAGCAGAAGCAGGCAAACACAGCAGACTGCATTTTGTTGTGTGGAGGTGACAGCGGCCAGAAGGAATGGGGAGGCAGGAGTCCGCAGGTGGAGTTGGGTCAGGTGGGAATCGGAAGAAGTCGCTAGCTAACAGGTTAGCAGGACAAGGGGGCAGGGTGTGTGTGGGGACACTGGGATATGCTGACCTGTTGTTGTCCACGTAGCGGATGAGGAGTGGGTAAAGGGCGTACAGATCCCGGCAGAGCACAGAGAACTCGTCCCGCACCTGCATCTCCCCCTCCTCAGCTTCAGCCTTGGCCTCCAGGCGCAGCTGCTCCTCCTCGGCCACCACCTTGCCTGCCCGCTTGCGCAGCCGTCCGATGGTCGGGATGAAGTGGGAGTGCAGGAGCTCGGGCCGCGCCCGACTCACAATGGGCTGAGCAAACACTGCAGGGCCACAGGGCAGAGGCCACTAACTTCTGTCCCAGCTCCTATCCTTTGATCTCAGCCTCTCACCTTTGACCTCAACATCTGACTCGGAACTCATTCCGGACCTTTGACATAGCACCCCAAACTCTCATCCCAAACTGTGACCCCCTGATCTGAGCCTATGGCCCCGTCCCTATTATCTGACCCCAGCTTGACATCCCAACGGTTTTATCCTTGTCTATGACCTGAAACTACCAGCTGTTCCATGGGAGAAAGATGAGGCTTTCTGCTCCCGTCAAGATTTACAGCCTCGCTATGTTATTGCAAACCCTCTTGCAAAAAACGTGTTCTAACAACTGTCCTTTGAGTGGGCTAAAGGATTTGGGCAACTGGTCATACGCTCCTGTGCGCAGCAGAAGGCAGCGCTGTTGGGTCCTACATCAGCCTCACAATCATACTGTCCTATACACATCAGATCCTTAAAAGCCATCTGCAGAAGACCCTTTTGGTAAGATTTGTTGTTGTTGTTGTTGTTATGTGCCATCGAGTCGGTTCCAACCCATAATGACACTGTACAGGGTTTCCAAGGGTGTAAATCTTTACGGGAGTAGAAAGCCTCATCTTTCTCCCGCGGAGCGGCTGGTAGTTTCGAACCGCTGACCTTAAGGTTCGCAGCCCCATTGGTAAGATTTAGGTGTCCTTTATTGAGCCTGTTCTCGTAGTCAACGGTGTCAATCTATCTCATTGAGAGTCTTCCTCTTTGTTGCTGACCTACTTTAGCAAGCCTGAAATCCTTCTCCAGGGACTGGTCCCTCCCGATAATAACATGTCTAAAGTGCATGGGATGAAGTCTTGCTATCCTCAATTCTAATGAAAATTCTGGGTATATTCAATTTTCCTTAAAAAATAAAAAAGTGTACTTAAATATGAAAAAAAAAAGATTTACAGCCTCGGAAACCCTGTACAGGGTCACTATGAGGTGGAACCGACTCCACGGCACATAACCACCACCACCACCATGACCCCTGACCTTATTCTTTAACCTCTGACCAGGCCTATACCCAGACTGACCCTATTACATGATTTCTAAATGTGACCCCTACTTCTGAGCTCAACCTCTGACCTCTGACCTCAAATCCAGCCCCTTAACTCTAACTTGACGCTTACCCAATCCCAGTTCCAGACACAAGACTTCTTCTAACGTAGGAATTCGAAGCCTTTAAAGACCCATGTGTTGACGTCTAACCTACAGCCCTAAACTGTCCATATCAGGAACTTGGTCTGAATCTTTGTTTAAGGAAGGATTCAGACTTCTGACCTAGTTCCTAACCCCTGACCTAAAACAGACCCCCAGAATCCAAACTGGAGGACTCCCAGGACCCTATGAACCAGACATTCTGACCCTTGCCATGACCTCTGGTCTCTTGATCCCAAGATAACAAGACTCGGACTCTTGACTCCTCTCAACTCCCCGAAGAGTCTGAGGTCCAGCCCCCAACGCCCAGTGCCCCAGACTCACCAGCAAGTCGCTTCATCCATGAGGCCTCATCAATGCCCAGGTTGTTGACGATGATTCGCAGGATGTTCCCCAGCAAGGAGTTGAGGTGGTCCGAGGTGACAGCTGTGCAGGGTGGGGGGGCGCTGGCAGGCAGGGAAGGGGCGGGTGCCTCCGGCCCGTGTTCCCACCAGCGGGGCAAGTAGCTGCAGAGCATGGGCAGTGTGATTTCAATGACATGTGGCATCTCTGTGTAGCGGGCCCCGGACACGGCCAGTCCTCCGATATCTGCCATGAGTCGCTCCAGCACTGGGATGTCAGGGCACATCTCCTCCACGCTGTTGGGGAGCCCCAGAACTGGGGTACAGGGAGGAGTCAGGGCCTGCTGACCTATCATCCCCAGAACTCAATGCCCCGAAGCCCCACAATACATTGTTGTTGTTGCTATGTGCCATCTAGTCAGTTCCAATTCATGGAGACCTTGTATAGGGTTTCTGAGGAATAGCTGGTGGGTTTGAACCACCGGTCTTGTGGTTAGCAGTCCAGTGTTTATTGTATAGTGCTACAGCAGGACTCCAACACATTAGGCCTTGCTGAACTGCCACCCACCCAAATTAGTCCCCCAACCCCCATCCTCTAACTTCTCCCAACCTTCACATTGAAACTTAGTAACTCCCAAAATGTTTCACACCCCCAAGCCTGTCTACTCCCGGATGCTCACCCAAACCCCAATCACCACCATGCCTGGAAACATTCACTCTTGAAATCACCCACACTCCAAACCCGTTCTCCCACCCCAACATGGAACAGACACCCCAAAGTAACCCTCTCCAACCCCTCCCCCCAAATCTCTCTACATCCCACTTCAACTCAGTCTCCTGACACACATAACCCATCATACATGAGTACTGCTGTGATGCTGTAGGTAAGCACTGGACTGCTAACTGCAATGTCAGTGGTTGAAACCCACCAGCCACTCCTCAGAAACCCTATACAGGGTCGCTATGAGTTGGAACCAATTCGATGGCACATGACAACAATATGTATACCCACACTCACACACTGTTGTTAAGTGCCATTGAGTTGGTTCCAACCCATAGCGACCCTGAACAGGGTTTCCGAGGCTATAAATCTTTACGGGAGCAGAAAGCCTCATCTTTCTCTTGCAGACCAGCTGGTAGTTTCAAATTGCTGACCTTGAGGTTAGCAGCCCAATTCATAACCACTACGCTACCAGAGCTCTTTCATAATAAAAATGTATAAATGATACACACACGAGGAGGGTTTCCAAGTTTCAGGAAAAATCCCATTTTTATAAATTCTATTTTTTTATGAACTTCTTGAAGCCCTCTTGTATATGTAACAGCTGCTATCAACTCGATTCCAACTCATGGTAACCCAGTGTGTTGCAGAGCAGAACTGCGTGCCATAGTTTTCAAGGCTGTGAGCTTTCAGAAGCCTAGGGGTGGCTTTGAACCGCTCACTTTTCGGTAAGTGGCTATGCACTCAACCATACCCCCCCCACCCAAGGATTCCTGAATACATCCATATGTACAATAGCCTTGAAATGCCTTTACACCCCAAACTATAAGACAGGGATTCCCCAATTGAGAACACCCCCAACCTGGACCCTCAGCTCCTCACAGCCCAGACTGGCCCCCACACACAGTCTCCAAAGCGAAGTCTCCCAGTGTGCTGGGTGAAATGTAACCTCGTTGCCCACCATCCCCACACAACTTACTGGCTCGTTCCCGGGGAGACTTGGTGGTATAAACTGAGCAGGCATTGTACTCATTCAGTTGAGGCTCCAGGAAGGCCACGGGCATGGCAGCTGCCAGCCTGGCCAGGCACTCCCCGAGGGCAGGTCGCAACCTGGAAGATGGGGCTGTGCTTAGTGCCCCAAGCCTCCCCTCAGCCCAACCTCCAGAGAAGCACTGCCTCCCCACCCCCACCCCAGGGCCCTCTGGGGCAGAACTGCCATTCATTCGCATGCTTGTTGCAATTTGAAAGACTTGACATTTCTTGTAAATGCCCTTTTCTGGGCTTCCAGAGGGTAGCTCCGCAGATGATCTGGAACCCGGAAAGCCCACGTGGACACTGCCAACGGTCTTCTGGGTGCTGTGTGCCTGTGTACCCTCTGCCAGGGAAAGCTTGATCCTCACCCTTCTGGGGCCTGAGATCCTGACTAGCGAGTGCCTGGTGTCCGGCTGGCCCCCAGAGCTGGCGGCCCTTCCACCAAGCTGGCTTTCCCACGAGTGCCCTCATGTGGCTGCCTTAGGGAACTGCAGTTGCCCCTGTTTGCCACACCCACCACATCTTCCTGTTTCCTCCCTTCCCTGAGCCCCACGGTCCCCACCCTAGCCCAGAACGGTGGCTCTCTCTCCTTACTTTTCCACGTAAGTGCTCTTCGTGGTCCCCAGGGAATAGATACTGCACAGAGTTCGGTAGCAGGAGACCTGGACGTCGTCCACTGAGGGTGGAGGGAGAGGGGAAGGGTTGGGGATTCACCAGCTATACCAGCGCTCCCCTCCACTCCCATCACCCACTCGCTTTTGGCCTCAGTTTCCCTATCTGTAACAAATCTGTAAAACGGATAACCATAGGTACCTTCCTCACACAACATTCCTTGGTCCTTTTCCATCTTCATGATTTTGATAATCAGACAATATTCTGTTGTCATTTATGGCGTTCTCACTGGCTAATTTTTAGAAATAGACAACCAGGTCTTTCTTCCTACTCTGAAAGCCCTGCTGTAACCTGTCTACTGTGAGTGATCCAGCTGATCTTTGAAATAACCGGTGGCATATCTTCCAACATCACAGTTAGCACAAGCTACCACAGCATGACAGACTAACACAGGGGTGAAAGCAACAATGGCAAGTTGCTGTTTTCTTTCTTGAAGAGGAGTCATGGATGTCTTTGATGAAAATGCTAGATGCTGTCTCCAGAAAAATGCAAACAAACATGCAATTCTGACACCCAGCAAGGTCTGTATGAACTGCAAGGTCGGCGGTTCAAACTCACCATCTGTGCCTCGGAAACCCTATACAGCAGGGTTGGGGAATATCTGGCCTGAGGACCGTATGTTGTTGTTGAGTGCCATTGAGTCTATTTCGACTCATAGTGACCCTATATAGGGTTTCAGAGGAGCAAGCAGCTGCTGAGATTGAACTGTCGACCTTGTGGTTCAAACCGACCTTGCAGTCCAGTGCATTAACTCACAGTGCCACACCAGGACTCCAAGGGCCGTATAAGGCCTGTGAATTCATTTGGTCTGTCCCTGCCAAGGCAACCACAGTTCCAGCCATCACATTGTTGTTGTTTTTATGTATTGCCATCGAGTGAGTTCCAATTCATAACGACCCTGTATAGGGTTTCCAAAGAGTGACTGGTGAGCTTGAACCACCGACCTTGCAGTCCAGCGCATTAACCGCAGTGCTACACCAGGATATACTGTTGTTGTCCATTGCTGTCGAGTCAGTTCTGACTCATAGTGACCCTGTATAGTGTTTCTGAGGAGTAGCTGGTAGGCAACACATAAGAGATAAGTCAATGAAATGTTTGACCAAATATAACAGGCTAATTTTTAAGTTGATAAAACTTTTGTTTTGTATGGCCCATAAAGGATGTCATAAATTCTGGCAGAGAAAAGGTTCCCCACCCTTGCTATAAAGGGTGGTATGAACCAGAACAGACTCCACAGCACTTAATAACAACAACAACACTATAGGATAAAGGACTCTGGTAATGGAGTGGATTACAGGGCAGGCTGCTAACTGAAAGGTCAGCAGTTCAAATCTACCAGCTGCTGCTCAGGAGAAAGATGAGACTTCCTGTTCCTGTAAAGATTTACTGCCTCAGAAATCCGATCCAGAGTCACTATGAGTCAGAACCAACTTGGTGACACACAGCCGCTACCACTGCAGGATAAACACTGGGCTGCGAACCACAAAGTTGGCTATTTAAACTCACCAGCTGCTCCTTGGAAACCCTATACAGGTTTGTTATGAGTCAAAACTGACTTAATAACGATGACAACGTCACAATAACCAAATGTGATGTGGGAACCCTGATGAGATTCTGAATTGAAAAAAAAAAAGACATTCCAGGGGTCATGAAGGAGGAAATTGAAATAGGGTCAGGTTCATGGACTGTGTAACAATGAACCTCCACGGCCCTGTGGGTCAAAGAATTAGATGGTGCCCTGTTACCACCACTAGAAGGTACCCCACTAGAAAATCTCGGAAGAAAAATGTGAAACAAAACTGAAAATCATAAAGACCAGGCTTACTGGTTGGGTAAAGCCTGGCAGAATCCCTGGGATGTGGCCCTACATCACCCTTCAGGTCTGGAACTGACCTCACTCCCATGGTACAGTTTTCAGTTCATATAACAGACAGATCTATAAGGAAAACAGGAGGCTTGGTGTGACGCTGTGGGTTAATGCGCTGGACTGCAAGGTGGGCTTGAACAGCAAGGTCAGTGGCTCAAGGTCTTTGGAAACCCTATCGGGGGTCGCTGTGGGTCAGAACGGACTCAATGGCACTTAAAAACAACAACAATGTGGTGGCTGGAGTCCTGGTGTGGCGCTCTAGGGTCAGTACTGGGTTGCGAACCACATGGTCAGCAGTTCAAACCTACCAGTTGCTCCTCGGAAACCCTATACAGGGTGGCTATGGCTGGAACTGACTCAATGGCTCTTTACAACAGCAACAATGTGATGGCTGGAACTGTGGTTGCCTTGGCAGGACCAGACCAAATGGTTTTTGGACATTCTTCATCCCTGGGTTTAAGCCCATTTACCTTCACACACCTGAGGTCTCTCCCAGGTGCACAGATAAGGGTGTGTTGACTGAAATTGCCCCTACCCCCACCCTGAACCCTTGTCCATGGGGTCAACAGCCCTTACAAATAACATCATCTCCGAAGTGGTGCTGGGCGATGTGCTGGAAGAGGGTGGTGAGGACAGGTAGCAAGGCCACGGTGGTGTAGGTGAGGTTTTGGCCCACACCCTTCACCTGGGTGCGTGCCTGGGACACCTTGCCTAGCCGAAGGTTCTCAACCATTTTCTCAATGTCTTCTGATGCACTCTCAAAGAAGGAACGGAGGCCAGCCTTCACGATCTCGGGTCCTGATTTCATTACCGTCCTAGGAAAGACAGTCGGGGGACTTCAGTTCTAGAATGTGAGACTAGATTACAGAGAGTCTCAGAGAATGTGCTTCAGCGGGGGTGGTTACCACGACCAACCCATAGCCTGACCTGGCATCCAGGGAGCGGGCCAGAATGTGCAGACAGTTGACCACGGCCCGGGCATCGGTCCCTGGAAGAAGAGACAGGTTAGGATGAAGGAAAGGCCACACACAGTGCTTCCTGTATATCCACTTGAATTCTCTCCGGATTCAAGAAAGACAAGCGTTGCCAGTCAGAATATCAGATGCTGCCAAATTCCCACAATCCTGGGGCTTCCACCATCTGGACAGGCCCCTCTGCCTGCACCCCTCCCATCTGGCCCTGACTTCTCTGCTTGGGACTCCCCTGTCCTGGCCCAGCTTTCTGCCTCATCACCATCTGGTGGTGACTATGTCTTGTCCACTGGCTGCAGAGTGAGGGCAGGGCCCAGACATGTAATGGTCACTGTCTCCAGGAATGCCTGGACCAATGAAGGTTGTTCAAATTAAGTCCTGACCCAGGGGAGAATTTCTTCATGGTGGGGTTGCTGATGAGAGGAAAAGAGAGACGATTAGGGATGGAGGCTCTGGGGAAGACAGAGCTACTTACCGAATAGAGAGACTCGGTGACGGACAAGAGCAGCAAGCTTGCAGAAGAGACTAAAGAGAGAAAAGGGGCAATGGGAAGCAAAGAGACCAAGGGCAGAAGGGACTTTAGAGGAGGCAGGGACAGAGGAGACAGGGAGACAGAACTGGGACGGAGGAGGTAGGAAGTTGAGGAAAACCAGGAAGCAGCCAGGAGAGGAAGGGGCAGCGATCTGATCAAACAGGAACATTGTAAATGAGGACTGGAATTTCTAGCGGGGTGAAGAGGTGGTTTGCCTAGGACTTTTCTCTGAAAGTTTTGGGGTTTTAGCTCTGAAAGTATCCTGGGAAACCTGTTGTTGTTGTTGTTAAGTGCCAAGTTGGTTCCAACCCTCTGTAGGGTTTCTAAGGAGTGGCTGGTGAACTGAACCGCTAACCTTGCAGTTCAAACTGACTTTGCAGTGCAATGCATTAATCCACAGTGCCATACTGGGACAGGAAACCCCTCAGTCCTGGACAAACCATGTGGTTGATCACCCCAGCCTTTCAGTCACCTCCGTTAAGTGGAGTGGGCTATATTAGCCCCCAGAACAGAGGTTCACGGTTGGGGCAGGGAGTGGAAGGCGACAGCCCTGTGAGGTCAGGGAGCTCAGTCAGAGGTCAGAGATCAGAGGTGGCCCACCTGGTGATCATTTCTTTCTCCTTGTTGGAGGCGTGGCCACCACTGCCCAGTACCTTGGCCGGTGTAGACAGGAAATAGAGACAGTGGTTGGTGAAGTACTGGTTAATCAAGGGGAGCAGGATCTGGTGGGGGAAGGAAAGGAGGTACTGAGTGAGGGGCAGGGAGGACCCCACCCAGCCCTCAGTCCCCTCCAGCTTCTGAGCCCACCTCTCACCTTGGCAAAGAATTTAATTTCCTGTTCATGTGGGGACTTTTCCACTCGTCCACTGCTGACCACAGCCTCTGATGGAGGAGAGAAAACAGGAATTAGGGTAGGCTCCTGACTGGGGAACCCAGTGGGGTCTGATGGGGAGAGACTATGGAGGCAGAGTTACACAATGATGGGAGAAACAGTCTTGGTATGACATCATCTCTGTTGGCTTTGAAATGAGACTCTCCCCTACCTAATCCCTCTAGCTATTTGATCAAGCCTTTCCTGAGGCTGAGTGGGAGAGAAGGACAAACCAGGATGATGTAAGGCCAAGAAGCAGCCCCCACCCCACTCCTCACAAACCCCTTTCTTTCTGAACTTCACTAGCTGGCATTAAGTAAATGTTTGACAAACGAATGAATGAACCAAATGAAACAAGAGATTGATTAATTTCATACAGACTAATTTCAAAATGGAAGTCAACTTCACTTATTACCAAATCTAGTAATTATGATGGCAGTTGTTATACCATCAAAATAATCATACTGGCCTCCAATGATTAAATGCCTGCTATATCCCTGGCAAGGAGTCCTGGTGTGGTGCTATGGGATAAGCACTGGATTGCTAACCCCAAGGTTGGCAGTTCAAACCCACCAGCTGCTCTTCAGAAACCCTATACAAGGTTGCTATGAGTCAGAAACAACTCGACAGCACTTAACAATAACATGTCCCTGGCAAAGGAGGTCTGGTGGCACTGTATGTTAAACACTGGACTGCTAACCACAGGTCAGCAGTTCAAGCTTGCCAACCCATTTCACTGGAGAAAAATGGGGCTTTCTACTCTTGTAAAGGTTTACAGCCTCGGAAACTATACAGGGTCACCAGGAATCGAAATCAACTCAATGGCAGTGGGATGTCCCTGGCAAGGGGCCCTGGTAGCACAGTAGGTTAAGCACGGGGCTATTAACCACAAGGTCAGCGGTTCAAGCCCACCAGCTGCTCCCCAGCAGAAAGATGAGGGTGTCTACTCTCTGGGAGGTTTATAGGAATGTACACTGCACAAGAGTCCTGGTGTGGTGCTGTAGGATAAGCACTGGATTACTAAAGTCAGCAGTTCAAACCCACCAGCCACTCCTTGGAAACTCAATACAGGGTTGCTATGAATAGGAACAGACTGGACGTCACTTAACAACAAAAGGCACTGATCTTAATCCCGTTCACTGTTGTATCCCCAGCATCTAGACCAGGGGCCGGCACCAAGTAGATGCTCAATAAATATATGATGAAGAGAGGAAGGGGTAAGGGAAGGCAGGAGGGAGAAATACATGAACTGGATTCCTAAATGACTCTTCGCAGGTGGGACTTGCAGAGTGAGGGGCTTCCTCCTACCCAGATGGGCAATGAACTCCTGGGAAATGTCCATCCAGCGCAGCAGCTGCTGCAGGAAGCCAAAGGCAAAACGCTTCTCAATGGAAGACGTGTCCAGCTCCATGTCCTTGAGGCCTCTGTGTAGAGAGGCAAAGAGGTGAGTACAAATTAGGTCTCTGCTTTCTATGCCCTAGCGTCTGGGAGCTCCGTGGCCCTGAAGGATAAGCACTGGACTGCGAACCACAAGGTCGTCAGCGGTTTGAGCCCATTAGCCGCTCTGTGCAGGAGAAAGATGAGGCTTTCTGCTCTCACAAAGATTTAGTGTCTGAAATCCTACACAGGATTGATAGTCGGATCCGACTCCACCTCCTCTACCACTAGTCCCGCCCAGTTGCCCCGGCCACACCTCTCGCAGGCTCTTTCCTCTTTGACTCCGCCTCTGCTCACTGGAGCCCCGCCTCTCCCTGGCTTCCTAAACTCCCAGCCCGCGTACCTAGTAACCGCATAGCCGTTCATCTGCAGGAACTTCAGTAGCTCCTGGGCCTTTTCCCGATCTCGTGCTTTCTCCTTGGCAGTGAGCGTGTCGTAGGGGACCAGCAAGGGGTGGGTCCCACCACCTGGGACAGCAAAGACCGGAAATCAGGGAGCTGGAGAGTGCCTAGGGCTCTCTCACTGATTGGGGCTCCCTCCTGTGGTTCATTTCGTGCATCATTATAGTTAGTAACTACTATCTGTAAGCATAACCAAAGCAGTGCTTTCTGTAAATTAACTCATCATAACATCATGGCCATCAAATTTCCATTTACATTGCTAAATGCTATCTTTATCCTCATTATACAGAGAAACTGAGGCTCAGGGTGGTGACGGTACTTGTTCAGAGTCCCATGGTGGAGACATGGCTCTAACCCTAGACCCTGTGTCTAAGGGACAGAGGAGCAGGGGGTCTGTGCAGATGGGGCGGGTGCCCTCACCCTTGGCCTCCAGCTCCTGCTTCTTCTTCCGCCCCCACGTGTTGTGGTAATTCTCTGCAAGCTGTTCCGCCATGGCCTGGGGGAGGATGCGCAGAGTCGAGGACCAGATTCTGAAGTCTTTTCACACAACAGACGTCGCCATAATCCTTCCCCACCAACACACACACACAAATCAGCGACTAGGGATCTTACCTGCAGCTCTCGGGACAGGGTAACTACACTGAGGTCAGGGGGCTGGGGATTGTAGCCTTCTCGAGGGTCATAGGTCTGGGAGGATAAGGAAGAGAAGGGGGCTTGAGGAGCTAGCAACAATTCCAAGTCAGCCCCTCCTCTAGGCTCCAGCCCAGCCTAAGCCAACACTTTCAGCTCTTCCCTTTTCCTGTACTCCTCCCCAGCCCACCCTCTCTCCACAATGCACCGCTCCTCTCCCAGATGGGCCCTATGTTTCTGCTTCTCACCCCACCGGATCCCGCCCCACCCTCACCCCCACCCTGCATCCACCTGGGCACTCTGGGATATCTTCCGTGTTTTTTTCTTCTCCGTCTTTTCTTCCTCACCCTCCCTGGCCTTCTCTACTGTCCATTCCCAGGCAATCATGGCCTTCAAGGACTCCTTGATGGGCCAGCGATAGATCTCTTTGTCCTAGGGTGGACAGGGGCAGCGTGCATGGAATGGGTAAGAAGGAGGTGGGGGAAGAGCCCCTATCTTCCTCTCCTGTGTAGCTCCATTGGCCACAACATCCAGGGAAGGAAAAAGCTCTTGTCAAGGCTAAGGAGTGGTCTAGCCAGGACCCTTAATTACCTGCTCCTAACTCCCATTATCCCATTTTACATGTGGTAAAACTAAGGCTCGCTTCAAAGTCTGTGGTTCTAAAGGGAGAGGTAACCCCTCTAGAAAAAAGTGTGAGGGGAGGCAGTATACATGGATGAGGGAGGAACCCTAACCTATGAGAATTTGGATCTAGGTGGATCTGCAGTTAAAACTCCTCCCTGAACCCCCAAATTTAGGGGTTTCATTTTAGACCCCCAACATTGAGCTGCAAGTCTTGGTCACCTTCTCTGAAAAGGTCTTATAGGGTCTCAGCATGTGGTGGGTCTTCAGGTCTTCATCTATATTCTCCCCATATGACCAGTTGTTTTGAATCTGGAGGAAGAAGGGGTGGGGGTGAGGGAAGGTGATGCCAAGATTGGGGGAGGGAGTAAGCAGCAGCCTTGGAGAGGGTCCCAGGGGAATCTAGAAGTCTTGGGAAGACTGGAGATCTTGAGGAAAGTTGGGGGTCCCAAGGGAATTGGGGTTTCCCTGTGCCTAGGGAAAAGTTGGGGTCCTGGGGAAGGGCGGACCCCAATGCCAACCTTGTCGAAGGCCCACTTCTCGTGCGTGTACTCTGCGTACTTGTTAATAAAGGAGTCGAGCTTCTCGGGTATGATCACACTACCGAGTGACAGAGGAGAAAGTCAACAGATATTGGGGCCAGCCCCTTCCTGTCCCTCCCTGGTTTTCCTGTCCCAGCTCCCAGGCCTCACTTGAGGGTCTCCACAGGCCGGGGGTCAAAGTTGCCTTCAGCATCCACTGTGGCCTTTTTCTCAGCCTTGGATGAGTACGAGGCATCCACATAGTCAGGGGGCAGAGCCCCTGCAATGGCACACAGACAAGGCATGACCATCCGGTATAGCTCCTGGTCATACTTCTGCAGATGCCAGAGTGGGACAGGGGGAGGAGTCAGTGCAGGCCTGCCTGAGCCTTCAAATCCGGGAGCTCCAAGATCTCAGACACACACCCTCCAGCTATCAACTCTCCCCCCGAACCTCAAAACTTGAATTATGCACCCAATCCCTAAAACCCAAATATTAGATCCACTTGGTCCCTCATATTACCACTCTCCAAGCTCTGGCCCCAACCCATAGATCTCCCCAGATCCGAACCAGATGCCCCAAACTGGTACCCCCCAAATTTGTACCCCAAGTCCTCCACACAGGTCCCTTTTCAGGACCCCCTGAGTGACCCAGACCTTATGGGCCAAGGAGTCAAAGATGCCCCAGAAGAGTTTACGAGTGAGGTGCAGTTCTTCCTCGGAGGTGACCCCAAAGTTGGCCCAGCCTGTGGGAAGGCAGTAGTACTTCCAGCAACGCTCATAGTGGTTCGTGAGGAGCTGGCCAGGACCAAGAGGGGGACAAACAAATGAGGAGAAAGTGGATGGCAGGCATGTAAAGACTTAGGGAGGTTCAGGGGTGCACTAGGTCAGTGCTTTTAAGTTAGAAAAGGGGTGTGGACCATGCCAATTGCTTATAAGGAAAGAAATGAATACTTTCTGGTGAGTGGTGCTGGATCATTTGCCAGGCAAATTTAGCATTCTGAAGGAGAGTTTAAAGAACACTGATGGCACAGTGGGTTAAGCCACAAGGTCTGTGGTGGTTCAAACCCACCCTTCGCTCTTTGGGGAAAAGATGAGGCTGGCTGCTCCTGTAAACACTGAAGGTCTCAGAAACCCTATATGGCAGATCTACTCTGTCTTTTAGGGTCGCTATGAGTCCGAATTGACTTGACAGCGCTGGGTTTTAAATGTAAGAATCAGGGTGGGCACTAAACCAGAGCTGGCTTTGTCTGGAGCAGCATGGGTAGGGTGATGTGCAAACAGACGTATGGATGAAATGATTTGTTCTTAAACAAATTAGCATGTCAAAGAAAACATAAGCAGGAGCCTTGGTGTGGCACTGAGGGATAAAACACTGGACCGCAAAGTCGGTTTGAACCACAAGGTCGATGGTTCAAAGCCACCGGTCACTCCTTAGAAACCCTATACAGGGTCAACAACAACAAAAACATGTAAGTAGTAACTGGGAAAGGCCTCATCATCCAATATGCAAATTTGAAATCAACAGCTGATTTTAGATGCCATTGAATTGGTTCTTACCCTGTATAGGGTTTCTGAGAAGCAACTGGTGAATTTGAACTGCCGACCTTGCTGTTCAAACCGACTTTGCAGTCCAGACCATAAATCCACAGTGCCACACGAGGACTCCCTAGCTGTGCTGGGTGAGGTTGACATGAACCCCATAATCTAAGGGCAGAGCAAGCTGGTGGGTTAAGAGTGGAGGCGAGCTTGCTGGTACAGACGTGCCCTCACCTTGAGCGGCATCTTGGCAAACTCGTTGAGGATGGGCACGTCGAACACTAGTCGCCGCAGCAAGTGCTGCAGCATGGACGGACGGATATACCTGCGGAGGCACACACAGGGCAGAGAGTGGGATCAGGGATGGAGGCCTCCCAGGCTCGCGGCTCCTCCCGCCCCCCAGGCAGGCCCCACCTGCAGAGCGCCATTAGGCAGTCCTCGATGACGTCGCGCTGCGCTTTGGTGAGGGAGCGGCCACGGGACAGGCGGTAGATGGTGTGAAGCATTGAATCCACCATGATGGCGCGGTGTTCAGTTCCCGCAAAGAGAGGCGCACACTTGGTGATGAGCGGCAGCACGGCCAGGCAGAGGTAGCGGTTCAGCGCCAGCGCCATCTCAGTGGTGCTGAAAGTGGCCTGGGATGTGCCGGGGCCACAGGGTGGAGTCATCAGATCTGCTGCCTGCAAACATGCCTAGGGCTGCCCTGAACCAAACTCAGTAAGTGGGGCCCGACCCATAGGGGCCCTCAAGGGCAAAGTGGGACTACTCCTTTGGGTTTCTGAGATTGTCAGTCTTTCTGGGGGCAGACAGCCTCGTCTTTCTCCTCAGGAGTCACTGGTGGGTTTTAACTGCATTTACTACAGCATACCTGATTTAATCCTTAGATTCCCTAAATCTATATAGCCAGTTAGAAGCCCAATGCTTAATCCACAGTACCACCAGAACGCTCTCTGCTCTGGTCAGCTCTGGGCAGCTGTGTCCATCTCAGTCACCCCTCTCAAACAAGCGACTTCCATGTCCCTGCAACCCAGTGGTATGAATTGAATTGCACCTACCTCCAACCTCCTTATGTGTTATAAATCCTAACCTCTAGTGGTTACTAACACCTAGCCTGTGGTGTGGCGCTGTTAGGATAAGCACTGGACCACAAGGTTGGTTAGAACCTCAAGGTCAGTGATTCAACCCTATACAGGGTCTCCATGAGTGGAAACCAACTCAGTGGTACTTCACATCAGCAACACAGCATGACTGTGGTTATAATCCCATTCGGAAATGAGTTATATTTATTATGTTAATGAGACCAATTAGTGTAGGTGTACCTGGAGTCCTGGTGTGGCGCTGTGGGTTAATGTGCTGGACTGCAAAGTTGGTTTGAACCGCAAGGTCAGTGGTTCAAGCTCACCAGTCGCTCCTGTTGTTGTTGTTGTTAAGTACCATGGAGTCGGTTCCGACTCATAGTGACCCTGCACAGGGTTTCTGAGGCTGTAAGTCTTTATGGGAGCAGAATGCCTCATCTTTCTCCTGCAGAACAGCTGGTAGTTTTGAACTGCCGACCTTGAGGTTAGCAACCTGATTTGTAATTTGGACAATGGCTACCCAAAATGGGGGCGGGGGTGTGTGCCTACAAAGGCAAGAAGTGACTGGCTTACAAGCTTTCAAGAGGGAACCTAGATCCAGAGGGTGTGGAAGAAGGTAGAGTCTCCACTGAATAGTATCCAATCTGTCTGGCAGGGCTGTTGAAATGAAACGCATAGTTCTCTTGATTGGGTGATGATGCATGGAGGGGGTTGTAACCATGGCAATGAAACGATATTCAATAGGATGAATGTAAAACTAATGTTCTCCCATGTAAACTTTCACATAATTCACAATAAAACATTTTAAAAAAAGATAATGGAACTCTTGGACCCAGAGTCAGTGACATAGCCACAGAGGACTAGAGTGGAGAGTGAAGCATCCAGTTGATAAGAAGAGAGGGCACATGCATAAGAACACCCACACTTGCAGATAATACCCACTTGACCTGGCTTCAATGGCTGGATGATCAGAGCTCAACCAGAAGAAGAAAGAGGAGGGAAAAAAGAGTAATCTGATACAATTTGATGAACTTGACATAGACCTATGGATGCAGTAGCTCAAAAGAGGGAACAAATCTTTACAGCGAGGATCATTCCCACCTCCTCCACACACGGAGAGGACAGGGATGGGCAACTTGCACACTGGCTACCCAGAATGGGGGCTACAGAGGCAAGAAGTGACTGGCTTACAAGCTTTCTAGAGGGAACCTAGATCCAGAGGGAGCAAGGTAGAATCTCCACTGAGTAGTATCCATTCTACCTAGTCAGGGGTGATGAAAGGAGATGCGGATAGGTCTCTTGCGATACAATAGCGAATAATTGTTATCAGGACCAATTGTGAAGGCTGGAAATGTAAAGATGGACATTTTGGGGCAAAGGAAGGGGAGTGATTAACCTTGCAGTCTAGGAGTGGAGGTCCCTGGGACCATCGAGGGAGAAAAGCAGAGAAAGGAACCCTACCCAGAGAAGCAATGATGCCAGGGATGGAGGCAGAGACGATGATGTGGGGAGATGGAGCGGCTGGAGACTTTGACCCCGGAGAGGGAGAGGGGCTGTATGTGGGCTTGCAGGGTATACCCTTTGGTTGATGGATGATGCATGGAGGGGATTGCAAGCATTGTAATGAAACGTAATATATGATTCGTTGAATGTAAAACTGATGATCTGCTCTGTAAACCTTCACTCAGTTCACAAGAAAAAGTTAAGAAAAGAACATTCTACGCTTGCTGTCTCTAACACCTCTCCTCTCAGGCTCTCTGAAATCCTCTCCAGTTAGGCTTCCATACCCTCTTGCTAAACCAGTATCAATTCTCAGTCCTCAGAGTTCTTGTCCTGGTAGTGGTTGTTGTCCACAGGTGCCTGTGTGTCCACAGTGCTGAACCATCATTGAAAATGATTCTTTCTTATAACCCAAGGTCTTAGAGATTCTCACCCACCTTTTCCTAGAACTCAAGAGGTTTGGTGTTTTTTTTGTTTGTTTGTTATTTTTTTTTAGTTTCTATCTTAATTTGGGAGGTGGGGCGGACTATGATATATTTAAGATCCTATACAAGATTAAGGAGCTCTGGTAGCGTAGTGGTTATGAATCAGGCTGTGAACCTTAAGGTCAGCAGTTCAAAACTACCAGCTGTTCTGCGGGAGAAAGATGAGGCTTTCTGCTCCCATAAAGATTTAAAGCCTCGGAAACCCTGTTACAGGGTCGCTATGAGTCGGAACCAACTCCACGGCACAAAACAACAACATACAAGATTAGGAGTCCTGATGTGGCATTGTGGGTTAATGCACTGGACTGCAAGGTTTTGTGAGTTGCAATGAAGACGGTTCAAGCTCACCAGCTGCTCCTTGGCAACCCTATCTATACAGGGTCGCTGTGTGTCAGAACTGACTCGATGGCACTTTAATAACAACATACAAGATCAAACAAACGTACTGGTGCTGCTTTGATTCTCATAGCCCATCTCATGCCCCTCTCTGGAGGCAGGGAGGGTGGTGGCCAGTCAGGGCAGGGCTGCTCACCGTGTCCAGAGAGGCCGCTGCTCTCATATCAGGCAGAAACCCCACATCCAGCACATGCAGCAAGAAGTCTTGGTTCTCGATGCCATACACACGGTCCAGGAAGAGTACCATGGATGCCTTGTGGTCCGGCACAAAGGATGCTGACATCTTCGGCTGTACCAGAGCCCCATCTGTGGGCACAGAGGACAGGGGTCAGCCATGCCCTCCCTGGCATCACCCCCTTGCTGAATCTGGCCCCTCCGTACCTTTGCCCAAGGTGGGGATCTGCAGTGGGAGGCTGATGATGCCCACAAGGTCATCCAGGGGCACGAGGGAGCGCAGGATGGCACGAATCCGCAGGGCCTCGCCCTTGCCGGCTTGGATCAGCTGAAGGGGCAGATGGGCATGTGATTGAGTCACTGCTCCCTTTCACCCTTTTCTGTCACACTGGAGGGCTACAGCAGGTCTCCTTTTCTTGTAGCTAACTCTAGAATTCCAGAATGGGCCTGAAACTGTGGGGCCTCCTAACCACTGAAAAAGTACTCCCAGCTAGACAAAGAGGGGACGCTGTGTTTCTTCCCTCAAAGCTGTCTGCTACATTAGCAAACCTTCCTTGCCAAGAGTACTTTTAACAAAGGGTACTTGTAAGACACCAGAGCTGCTTGGACACCTTAATTCATAATTCACTGATCTCTGGGAAACAGACCTAAATTGACAGCTCTATATTCTTTGTGAAACTGGCCATTCCTTCTCCCATGGGTGCAGATCTAAGATGCAATCAACTCTAGCTCTCTCAGAATTTCTTATGTATAGAGAGTTAGAAGGGCTATTCTCATTTAAATGAACTGGTGGTGAGCAAGGAGATGCCAGAGGTTGTTACCTTCCCAAGTCAATTACTGTGTTCCCTGCAACTCCTATTCAGACATCCTTCCTTCAGGTTCCTGACTTATCAGAGTATACTCAGCTGCCTCCTCTGGTTGCCACTGTGGGACCACTCATTCCAATCCTTTGCTTGCACCTCCAGGGCCCAGTGCAAACCCTCAGAACTGTCAGTGTCTGGTGATGGGTCTGTCTCTCCCGGGACTAGGAGATCCGTGAGGGTGAGGGCTGAGACTGTCTTGGGGACTGTTGTGTCCCCAGCATTGCTTAACCCACACAATGAGTGCTCAATTTATGTTGCTCAATAAAGGGCAACTCATGCCCTTCGGGGGGCCCGCCCCGCCCTGGCCATCTCAGGCTCACGTGCATTTCCGGCGCGCAGCGTCCCAGTAGATCAATCAAGGCAGCGTAAAAGGACATGATGGCGTGTCCCAGGTGTACCCGGTTTTCTTCAGGGTGCTCCTCCCCAAAGCTGCAGGGAAGGCGGATGGGCTGGGTGGGTGGGCAGCAACGGGGCACGGGAGGACGGGCTACCTGCTGGTGGAGGGAACTTGGAGAGACTCACTGCTCCCGCCGGCGGTCCCTGCGCACGCCAGGGCCGTCCCGCGCCGGGTCCTCGGAGATGCGGATGGCTTCCTCGATGGCGCCCAGCAGCCCTGAGCCGCCCTCGCCTCGCAGCGCCGGTCCGAAGCATTCGGGCTTGCGGATGAGCAGCCGCACCACCACGTTGGCGTTCTCTTCCACGCTCTCACCTGCGGTCCGCGGGATCGGGAGAGATCAGAAGACACCCCTACCCTCTCCCCAGCAGCCACACAGCCCAGCTCCTAAAGGGATAACGCCAGGTTCCTGTCCACTTCCAGGACCCTACCCTGTGCCCACTTTGAGGGCCAGGCTCGCCCCACCACATCCTATCTCACCATTGACGAAGACGGCAAATCGTAGGAAGTCCAGGTAGCGCTCGCCACCACCTGGGTTCCAGCCGATGTCGGGGTACCCTTTGGCCAGGAGCATGGGGCAACTTTGTAGACCACAGCCTGCCAGGTAGGACACCACCTGGGTGGGGGGGAGGCGGGCAGGGGGTTCAGCCAGTGGCCAGACACACACCAGTCTCCTCCCCAAGGCTCAGGTCCCTGAGCCCCAACCTAGAGCCCCTCTCTGGAATTCTTGTTGACCTCCTTCTTGTTGGCCTCTGTGTTCTCACCTCATTCCCCACCCCACCCCCCACCTCCCTCACCAGGAGCCATTGAACTCCTGAGTCAGACCACTTCTCTGCTGGAGACCCTCTGTGGTTCCATCTCACTCAGAGGAAACAGCAACATCCTTCCTGTACTCACAAGACCCCACACCTCTACCACCTCCCTGCCCTCATTTCTCATCACATTCCTCTCACTCACTGTGTTCCATTCACATGGCCTCAAACTCACCAGGGTCATGCCAGCCTCAGGGCCTTTGCACTGACTGTTCCCTGTGCCTGAAATGCTCTTACCCTGACGTCTAACATGGCTCCCCTTTACCTCCTTCAACACTCTACTCAAATGTTCTTTTCTCAGTGAGACTTTCTCTTGACCACCCTTCCTGACACTTGATATTCTACTCACCAGTAGCTAATACACTACATATACCTTCTTGTATAGTAGCCATCTTCCAAACTAGATCATCAGCACTGTAAGGACAGGGATTTTTGTCTGTCTTGATCACAAAGCAACCCTATCGCCTTGGACTGGTCCCTAAATATAGTGGTGGTGGTCATCAAGTTGGTTCCAACTCATAGCGACCCTAGATTTCTGAGGCTGTAAATCTTTATAGGAGCAGAAAGCCTCATCTTTCTCTTGCCAAACAGCTGGTGGATTAGAACTGTTGACTTTGCAGCAAGCAGCCCAACATGTACTTATCAGGACTCCCCTCTATAAAGACTGTTGTTGTTAAGTACTGCTGAGTCAGTTCTGACTCACAGCAACCCTCAATGTAAAGAAAACAAAAATCTTCATAACTGGACCAATAAATAAAGAAAGAAAAGATTGAAGTTGCCAAAGATTTCATTTTGCTCGGATCAATCATCAACACGGAAGCAAAGGTCAAAAATCAAGTAGCGTATTGTAGTAGGCAAATCTGCGGCACAAGACCTCTTTAAGGTGGTTAAGAGCAAAGATGTCAGTTTGAGGACTAAGGTGCACCTGACCCAAATCATGGTATTTTCAAAATAGCCTCATATGCATGTGAAAGTTGGACAGTGAATAAGGAAGACTGTAGAAAAATTGATGAGTTATGGTGTTGGAGGAGAATATTAAAAGTTGGAAGAAGTACAGCCCGATTGCTCCTTAGATGCCAGGATGGGGAGACTTTATCTCTCATACTTTGGACATACTATATGGAGGGACCTGAAGAAGGACCTCAAACTTGGTAATGTGGAGGGTCAGCAAAAAAGAGGAAGGCCCCCACTGAAATGGACTGACAGTGGTAACAACAGTGGGCACAAGCGTAGCAATTATTGTGAGATTGATGCAGGTCGCTATGCACCTAACAACCACATAGGGTTTCCATGGAGCAGCTGGTGGGTTTGAACCACCAACCTTGTGGTTAGCAGTCCAGTGCTTATCTTACATAACTCCTCTATACATAGTTCCTATTGTTGTTAAGTGCCATCAAGTCAGTTCCAACTCATAGCAACCCTATATAGGGTTTCCAAGGAGCAGCTGGTAGGTTTGAACAGCCGACCTTGTCATTCTCAGTCCAGTGCCGATCCAACAGCGCCACACCAGGAGCCCTCTATATGCAGTAGGTACTCCATTGGTAAGCACTGTCGAGTTGGCTCCAACCCATAACAACCCTGTATAGGGTTTCCGAGCCTGTAAATCTTTACAGGAGCAGAAAGTCTCATCTTTCTCCCACGGAACCACTGGTAGTTTCGAACTGCTGACCTTGAGGTTAGCAGCCCAACTCGGAAGCACTATGCTACCAGAGCTCCTTAGGCATTCCATAATGTGTGTTAAATGGAAAAGAATACAATAACACCTAACCGTTACTGAGCACTTACTATTTTAAATGCTTTCATGGATTGACTCATTTAACCCTCCGAACAAACCTATGATGATATTCATTCTACATCACAGAAGTTGTGGAGAACTTAGTCACCTGACTGAGATCACACTTCAAGGAAGAGAGGGGGATGGGAGTTGAACCCAAGTTGCTGAGCTCCAGATCCCTCACCCTTCATTGACCCTGTATTGGGCAGTGCTGAGCACACAGTGGTGACTGAGACAGCCCTGGGCCTGGCCCTCATGATACTCCCAGTGCATTGGGACAGACAGACCCATCCCAGAGAGCAACAGCCCAGGGAACAACACAGAAGTAGAGGTGCACAGGGCCAAGCCACGTCACAGGCCACACAGCTGGGTGTGGTGGAGCACGGTACCCCATCAATGAGCATCTGGATACTGTCCTTTTCCTCCAAATTACTGGCCTTCTGATTTGCCCCCAGATTGTTAGGCCCCCTAGTGGCCTAATCTAGTAGGAGACCCCAAGAAGATCATCAGGACTCGAGTTCGATGCAAAAGCAAGAGGTTTATTTACCAACGCGCTGGGGTCCACCTTCACTCCTAAAAACAGGAGACAAGGCTACCTTTGCCAACGCGCTGGGGTCCACCCTCACATAGACTCTTGAAAACAGGAGCTGAGGGCGACCTAGACTAGATCAAACATCTGACTGTGACACACCTCATAGAGAAGTAGTAGAAAACATCTGATGGCAAAACAAGAGTAACCCTGAAGCTTTAAGAGAGTGTATTATCACAGAAATGCATCAGTCCACTCACATGGGCATTTGTACAATGCAAGACCTCCTGAGAGAAGCAGAGATCAAAATTCGTAATGCTAACTCCAAGATTGAGCACATTGTTGCTGTCTGTAAAGCGTGCCAGCTCACCAACACAGCTAGAACCAAAGCTAACCCAGGCTGTAAAGTGAAAAGAGATCAATCTGGTGCCTGCTAAGAATTAGACTTTTCAGAAGTAAAACCCAGAAAATATAGTTACAAGTATCTGTTAGTCTTTATAGATCTGCCTTTATTTCCAAAGTAAGTCAGAGTTTAGCTAAAGTACTAGGGGGCCTAACAAGATGATCCAGAATTGCCCCTTAGGATGGGACTGAGAGGCTAGGTAGAAGCCAATCTCCTCCCAGACCAGAAGGCCAACCTCCACCCCCCATACCTTTTCCAGGTCCTGCTCCTGCAAGGCCAAGGCCAGCTCATTGTTGTCAATGACGGAGGCGGCTGCCACATCCAAAGGTGTGGAGCCCTGCATACCTGTGGGGACGAGAAGCATTGAGAATGATCTTCCAGAGATGCAGCACAGCCCTCTTGCTCCTGCTTGTCTCATCTCCTCTGGAAAGTCCTCCGTGACCACGTCCTTTCCAGGTTAGGTCAGGTGACTCCTCTGGACTGTGTTTCCCCCATTCCAGTTCTGACCTCCCTGGGTTGTTGCTGCCTGGGATGGGTCTGGCTGTCTTGGTCACCACTGTGTGCTCAGCACTGCCCAGTACAGGGTCAAACCCAGGAGTGAGGGTGGATGTTTGTTGAATGTGTGAGTGAGCCAGAGGATGAGTTGGGACAGACCTCACTGGTGGATTTCCAGGAGTGGACTCCATCAGGCAGTCCCTGGGCTTGGGGGTGCTTACCCAAGCCGATGCCACTGTTCTCCAGCAAGTAGCTCAGGTGGTCGAACATGGAGCGCTGGTTCTGCCGGCTGATGCGGCAGAAGTAGCAAAGAAAGCGACAGCAACTAGTCACCATCTTGGGGAAGCGGATTTCCTGGGGGCAGGCAGGGTGGGTGGCTGATCAGTGCCTGCCCTGGATGGCCCCATGTCCTGAGCTCCTCACCAACCCCCTGCCCCTTACCTTGGACTCGCCACCCCCGAGAACATTCACCATGACCTCCATGACTGTCTCGTGCATGCCCAGTGCCCGCATCAGGTTCGGGTGTTGGTAGAAGACCTTGTTGTTCATGATGTTTCTGTGGACAGGAAGTCCCACATGCATGGGGTCAACAGGAGGGACCCGAGACTACAGAGATAGTTTCAGATCTCAGGAAAGCCATCACCCACGACATTTATCAAGTGCTTACACTGAGCCTGGCATGACCCCTCTCAACAAATTTTGACTCTTTTCATTCTTATACCCATTCTGGAATTTAGGGACTATTATTACGCCTATTCCACAGATGAAAAGACTGAGGCATGGATGGAAGGCAGGCTCATGTTGCCCATTGTATTCTTAAGTACCTAAAATGAGACCTGGCAAAGCACAGTTGTTGTTGTTAAATGCCGTAAAGTCAGTTCTGACTCTTAGTGACTATGTGTGAGGTTTCCGAGGAGCAGCTGGTGGATTTGAACCTTGTGGTTCAAAGTTCAGTGCTGATCCTACAGCGTCACACCAGGAGTCCCGGCGCACAACCGTTATTGTCAGGTGCCGTCTTGTTGATTCCGACCCATTGGGTTTCCAAGGAGCAGCTGGTGAGCTTGAACCACCGACCTTGCAGTTCAAACGGCTTTGCAGTCTGGCGCATTAACCCACAGCGCCACATCAGGACTTCACAACAGTAGGTGCTCAATAAATGTTTGCTGAGTAAATGAATGAGATCAGTGGGTGTGACAGGCTTAACACTGTGTGAGTGCTTACTCCTATTATCACTATGATTACTTCTCATGTGTGAAGCCTTATTACAACTCAACAGAGTCATGATTATGCTCCGTTTTATAGCTGAGCAAATTAAGGCTCAAAAAAGAGTAAACCAACTTGTACACTGATGTTCATCGCAGCACTATTTACAATAGCCAGAAGGTGGAAACTATCAACAGATGAATGAATAAACCAAATCTGGCCTTATCCAGTCAGTAGATTACTGTTTGGCCATAAAGAGAAATGAAGTCCTAATGTATGCTCCAACATGAATGAATCTTGAAAACATTATGCTGATTGAAAGAAGTCAATCATAAAAGGGTAAATATTGTATGATCCCACTTATATGAAACGGGCAAATGTATGGAGTCCTGGTGTGGCGCTGTAGGATCAACACTGGATCAATGGTTCAAATCCACCAGCTGCTCCTCGGAAACCCGACACAGGTCGCTTTGAGTCAGAACCAACTTGAGACACTTAACAAGTGGTGAGAGGGAGAGGGGATTTCTGTTGGTGGTGGTGGAATAATTTGGAAATGGGCAGTAGTAATGGTTCTACAATACGATGAACATAACCAACGTCGCTAAACTATATGTGCAAAAAATGATGAATTGTGAAACATGTGTTATATACATATATTTTAGCACAACAATTTTTTAAAAAAAAGATTAAACCTCATGCCAAGAGTTGTTACTCAGTGAATTGGAGCTGTTACCCTGGCAGTGAGCTGAGAGGTAAGAGCAGAGGACATTACCCAGAAAGATGGGCTAGATGCTGGGGGAGGAAGTATATCACACTGAGGATGGGTTAGAACTCAGGAACGGAAACATGATTGTATCCAGAGGACCACAGAGATCAGGTTGGAGTTGGGGAAGATTCCACTCCCTTCCTTCCCTGGGGATCTGCAGTCAAGGGAGGGTGGGAGGGCTCACCCAATGCTCTGGATCATGAGGTTCTCCTCCTGGGGGCCCATCTGCACAATGAGCAGTGACCGGATCTGGCTGAGGCACTCAAGCAGGCTCATGGTGTCCTCCACAGAAGACAGCGAGATGGTGTATGCCCGCGGCATGGCACGCAACAGCTCCCCAAGCCCATCGTACTGCCGGTGCAGAAGGCTGAACATGGCCCGAACCAGCTCGGGGCTCTGCACGAAGTCTTCCTGGGCCCAACGCACCATCGTATGGGACACCAGCTCCTGCAGAGATTCTGCGAAGGGACCACAAAAAGAAGGACCCTCTTTTAAGAAGGTGTCTCAGCTATGGTCTATACCTTCACCTGCCAGAAGGGATGGATTCTGGGAAAGTTTTTTTGAGTATTCTAATGTCTCTATTCCCTTCATCCTAATTCCCAGACCCTAAGGGTCCTGTCTAAATTTCTGGGGGGAAAAGAAATTCTATAACTGTTAACTGAGAGGCATCATAATCATGCCACCATGCCACATTGAAAGCACAAGTCACAATTCCCTTTGTTCTATAAAGCCACTGCTGATTTTTCATCAGGAGAGACAACAAACACACAGAAAGAAAAACTGTGACGACTTTGGTATCATTTGAAAATGATATCAAAGCAATTCTATTTTATTCACCCTGGTGGTCTTCCTAAGACTCTTCTCCCCTACACCCAGCATCCATTTATCTTTCTGTCTCTCTTTCTCTTCCCTCTCTTTCCTGTCCAGTATTTCTGGGAGAGAACACTGGTGGTCACCTGGCATTTTGGCACATCGGTGTTTGTATTTGTTTACTTGTTGCAATAGTCTAAACTTCTTGAGGGCAGGGGCTTTGGCTTTTCTCTACACTGTACCCCCACCCTACTAACTGACTGGCACAGAGTTAAGCCAACAGGAGTTTCTTGAATAACTCCTGAATCAACATTAGTCTGCATAATAACACATTTGCCTAACATTTAACACAACTGTTCTTCTAGTCCTCAGCCTGGCGATCATTTCACCAAGAGAGAAAACAAAAACAAATAAAAACCGCAAGGACATGGAAGCATGGTACAGGAGTTGCCATCGTCCCGTGGTTCATGGTCCAACAGACGTATATTATGTACCCCAACATGTGGGCCATACCATCAGCATACCTCCTCCCTCACCTCAGCCCTCCATTCTTCCTCTCTTATTCCCTCCCGCTCATCCGCTCCGTCCTCACATTCCTCCTAGTGACCTGCTTGGCCCCAGAACCTCCCCAGGCATCACGGCCCTAGCCTAGTCCTGGTGGCCCCAGTTCTCACGGGGTTTGCTTTCCTCGGCTGGTGGCTCCTCATCAGCTTTCTCCTCCTTCTTCTTCACCAGCCTCACTTTTTCCAACAGACTCATCAAACGGCTGCCCAGAGTGGCCTCCTCCTCTGGTTCTTCCTCCTCCCCCTCCAGCTGAATTCCTGAATTCAAGAAGGGAGGGGATATCATTCATCCGTTTGCTTAGTTATCTGTTCATTCACTTCTTCATTCATCCATTTCTCGTTCATGCATACATTCGGTGGGAGTTAAGGAGGTATCATTTATTTCTTTATCTGTTCAGATGTTTGTTCATTTATTCATGCTTTGAAACATTTGTCATTTAAACCAGTCATTGTAAATATGTTTAAAGAATGAATGGAAACCGTATTTAAAGAAAACAAAATCCTCACAACTAGACCAATAAGCAGCATGGTAGATCGAGAATATCTTGAAGTTGTCAAGGATTTCATTTTATTTGGATCCACCATCAATGCTCATGGAAGTAGCAGTCCAGAAAGCAAACATCATACTGCATTTGCTGCAAAAAAATCTCCTTAAAGTGTCAAAAAGCCAAGATGTCACTTTGACGACCTGACTCAAGCTGTAGTATTTTTTAATCATCTCATCATATACATGCAAAAGTCAGATAGTCAATAAGGAAGATCAAAGAATAATTGATGTATTTGAATTATGATGTTGGCAAAGAATATGGAATGTACCATAATCCATACGGTACTGCCGGAAGAATGAACAAATGTGTCCTGGGAGATATCAAGTGAGAATATTCCTTAGAAATGAGAAAGGAGAGACTGCATCTCACACATACCTTGGACATGTCATCAGGAGGGGCCAGTCCTTGAAGAAGAAGGACATCATGCTTGATAAAGTAGAGGGTCAGTGAAAAAGAGGAAGATTCTCAATGAGAGGAACTGACAGCATGGCTACAGTGGTTGATAAGCTCAAACATACAATGGTGATGAGGAAGGTACAGGACTGGGCATTGTCTCACTCTGTTGTACACAAGGGTGTTAGGAGTTGGGACCAAGTTGATGGCACCTAACAACAATGCCATGCCTAAAAATTAAAAACAAGTATAATGACAACGAATCACCGAATAGAGCATATTTATGAAGAAATGTGCTGTTGGTATTGTTAAGTGCTGTCACGTCAATTACAACTCATAGCGACCCTGAATAGGGTTTCCAAGGAGCAGCTGGTGGGTTTGAACTGCTGACTTTGTGATTCGCAGTGCAGTGCTGATCCCACAGTGCCAAACCAGGAGTAAATAAATAATCTAAAAAGAAACCATATAGATATTCTGAGTCAAAATGTACAGTACCGGAAATGAAAAACCACTAAAAGGTTTCAACAGAATATTTGAGCTGGTCAGAGAAAGACTCAGTGAATTTGAAGATAGGAATATAAAGATTATCCAGTTGGGAAAACAGAAAGATAAAAGAATGAAGAAAAATGAAGAGTCTCAGAGGCCCCTGAGACAGTATCAAGTGCGTAAGAATATACAAACTGGAAGTCTCAGAAAGAGAAGAGAAAAAGGAGTACAAAAATATTTGAAGAACTAATGACCCCAAACTTCTAAAATTTTATGAAAAATATTAATCTATACATCCAAGAAGTTTAATGGTATCCAACTACAACAAATTCAAATAGTTCCACACCTAAACACATCATACTCAAACTGTCTAAAGATAAAGGGAAAATGTTTTAAGCAGCTAGACAAAAAATGGTTTATCACATAAAAGCATACCTTCATAAAATTATCAGCTGGCTTCTCATCAGAAACAATGAAGGTCATTCATTCACCTCTCCATCCAGCTATTTCTTCATCTCTTTCTTTGTTCATCATTTCTTTCTATCAGTTCATACACTCATCCAATTCCCCAGCCTACAGCAATCATCCATGTATCCATCTACCCAAAGACCCATAAACATCTTTCCACTCATCTTCCATCTGTTCATTAAAACATCTATTTGTTCAATCCACCAATAGTCACTTAGCACCACTGTAGATATTTAAGGTCAGGAAGTCTCAGAGAAACTTCAGGAGAGATCACAAGAGAAAGTTGGGGAGATGGGGGTTCTTTGTGAGTCCCTCCCCTTACCACAGTGTGCCAGCAGGTCTTGATGAAAGTCAAGCAACTCTTGTCGAAGGTCGTCAGGGAGAGGACATTCTTCCTCATCGTTACCATCTTTGAAGTGTAATAGCATGTTGATCTAGGAGATCACCAGACAGAAGTTCAGAATGAGGGCCTAAGACTCCAGATCAGGAACTCTTTGGTCAATGACCAAAGGTCCAATTGTGGGTCCCAGTCTAAGGTCATGAGTCCAAGTGTGAGTCAGTGAAGAAGATATGGGAGAGTAGGTATGGGCCAGCGATTGGCAAAGGGTCAGGATCAAAGGTCAGTTGACTCAAAAGTCAAGCTGGTTCTGATAGAGGTATGGGAGTAAAGAATGAATATATTGTTAGGTTCATAGGTCAGATGGGGCTTAGAAGCTGAGAACCACCAGTTATCAGAGGAGGAGGTAGGTTGAAGTCAGGGTTTAGACAGTAAGACCAGCCGGAGGATCGGAAGTACCTGCTCCTGGGGTGGGGAGCGGAACTCGCGAGTACGTCGGGCAGTTTCAGCAGCAGACATAGTGAAGGCTTTCATGAGGAGGCCGTAGCGGCTTCGCTGGTTGTCCTGGAGATTGTCCACATAGCGCTCTGCAAAGGCTGCCAGGGACTCCACACGGTGCTGCAGCTCTTGGTCACAGAAGTACTCCAGAAGGTGGCACATCTGTGGGTAGACAGCCAATGTCACAAGAAGCATGGCAGGACGATCATTAGAAGGACCTTGAAACCTTTCTTGCCATCACATCCCTCCCCATGGCCCTGCCCTGATCCAGTGATCATTATTTCCTATGTGGGTCAGCCTCCAAGATCTCACTCCTCCAACTCACCTCCCACATGGCAATCAAAGGGACATTCCAAGCTGGCATCACTGTATGTACAGCTGTTTGCATCTTCACCACTCTACACTGCCTCAGGACATAGCCCAAACTCCTCAAACTCCACTAGGCTCTGTGTCTTCCAGCCCAGGTGGGATGGACACTGGAACAGAAAGACCCAACCTACCTGTAACTTCACAGACTCTGGCAGCTTCATCTGCAGCAGCCCCTCCTCTAAGCCTTCTTTTTCCCCTTCTGCTGCCTCTTCTTCTTCCTCTTTTTCCTCATCTTCCTTCTCCTCTGCTTCTTCTTCCTCATCCTCCTCCTTCTCTTCTTCATCCTCTTCCTCCTCTTCTTCCTCTTCCTCTTCTTCTTCCTCAGTGAACACTTCAGGTTCAATCATCTTCAGAATCTGTTTTACATCCTCATCACCAAAGACACCCATCACCTATAGAGAAAAGTCTGAGTCCTTCACTGGTGCCTAAAGGGTCTCCATAATCAGGTCTCGCTTCACTTCCCAGCCCTGCTGTTTCTACACATGACAGATTCATTCCCACATTGGTTCATATGACTCCTCTGGTAGGTAGGAATGGCCTCAACCTGCCTCATTCCCTACCCACTTGAGATCCTCTCAGGTCCACATCCTGCATTGCACACAAATGGCCCAGACCACATAGCTAAACATGAGCACTTCTCCTTTCACAGGTAAGTGGCCTTACTCCCAAGGTTGAGCACATAGGGCTTTAGGACCAAGATGCAGCTTACACTTGATGGAGACCCTCATGGCTCCCTTATGCCTCCCAGCATACAACATATCTCAGTCAACATAATGAAAATGCTAATACAGGGAAAAAGAGCGGGTAGATGAAAGGGAAGAAATGTGAAGAGTGAGAAAATGAGACAAAAAGAGGTGGTTGCTAGCTGAATTGATAAATGGAATAGAAATTTGAAGGGGAAAGAGTAGATGGGTGATGAATAGATGGCGAGATGAAGTTAAAGGTGCAGGAATGGATGATAGGTGAATGGGTGGGTGGCAAAAGGGTAAATAATGTATAGATATGTGGCTAGGTGGATGGATGGATGGATGGATGGATGGATGGACATGTGAGAAGGTAAATGAGTGGATGGGTAAACAGATCAATAAGCAAATAGTGATTGGTGTAGGGTAGAGTGGATTGATGGGTAGAGTTTACATGAAAAGTTGGATGGATGGATATATAAATGAATAGACGAGTGAATGAATGAGTATATAAGATAAATGATGGATAGAGGGATGGGTAAGTATAGGTTTGTGGGTTAATGGATGAGTGCATGGGTGGCTGAAGAGATGTATGGGTGGATGAATGGATGAGTGGATGGATGAGTGCATGGGTGGCTGAAGAGATGTATGGGTGGATGAACAGATAGGTAGAAGATGGAAAAATGGATCTGTGGATGGTTGTATGGGTGGAAGTATGCAGATGGATGAATGCATAGGTGGAAGGAGGAGGCGGTTGGATGCACAGAAGTAAGAAAAGATAAGTAAATGGGCAAGTATATGAAAAGATGGAATGGTACATGTCTACTATTCTGGTGATGATGAACAAATGGATTGAAGCTAGGTAGATGAATATCTGTATGTGTGGATGGATGTGGGAAAACAGACAGGTGAGTGAATTAGATGGGAAGTTGAGTGTATGGATGGAAGGAAGGGAAGGTGGACAGAGGACAGATGGATTGAGGAATAGGTGAGGAATGATGGTCAGTTGGATGGATGAATAAAAAGAAGAAATATATGAATAAATGATAGATGAATGGGTAAATGTGAAGGATGGGTAGGGTGAAGGACGGACAAACTGAAAGGTGGATGGAGACATGGATTGCGTTGTTTGGGCGCATAAACGGGAGGAGGATTGATTTAGGTGAGGAGCCCTGGTGGCATGTGAGTTACGTGTTTGGTTAATAATCACAAGATCAGCAATTGAAATGTGCAAGAATAGGACAGAGGGAAGCAGGCGGAACTCATTACCAAAAGAGTAGACACAAGCTTGAGCACAGGCACAAACTGGAACTCCACAGAGCCCCCGACGGGATCGCGAGCGTGCTGCCCACCATCTCGTACTGCCTCTCCCATCATTCTCAGCGCCCTGTCCCGCAGGGCTTCCAGAGGGATGGCAGGACTGAGACGGGCCGGGGCTTCTGCTATCTTAGCATTCGGCAGGGCAGCCACAAAACAGGGGGGTGAGAAATGATGCGGGGGCCGCAGCGAGGTGGTGACCCCGACGCCAGGCAGGCCGTGGCGGCGGGGGCCATTATCCGCTCCTTTTTCAGGTGGGAAGAGCGTGATGGAGCAAGTCTCGGGCGTGAGGGGCACTATGTATTCGGAGAGCATGCTGCGTCGGCTGCGGCAGGCACTCTCGAGGTGGATGCTGATAAGCAGGTCGTAGTAGCCTGCGCGCAGCGCGCCCGGCAAGTGGGCATCCTCCAGCGTGTGCAGCAGTTGTGCCTGGTCCACGTGGCTGCACAAAGCATGCGCCACGCGGGTGTTGCCCAGCGCGCACACAGCGCGGTAGAGGCGGAGGGTGTGAGAATGGAAGCGCTGCAGGTCCAGGCGCTCGGACAACTCCAAGATGTCCATGCACCTGCAATGGACGTGGGGGGACACAGACCACAGAAAGAGAGATGCTTACGTAAGCATTGGTGGTTTCATCAGGGAATTCTGCTGCTGTTCTACTGCGTCTGGAAGGAGCTCTGGTGGCCTAGTGGTTATGAATCAGGCTGCTAACCTCAGGGTCATCAGCTCGAAACTACCAGCTGTTCCGAAGGAAAGATGAGGCTTTCTGCTCCCACAAAGATTTATAGCCTCAGAAACCCTGTACTAGGTCGCTATGACTCGGAACCGACTCCACAGCACATAACAACAACAACAATACAGGGTGTGGGATCCATGAGAAGGTCCATGGGGCTGGATCTAGGAGTCCTTCAATGGTTCTGAAATCACTAGGGGTCTGTTGTTGTTAAGTTCCCACTCATAGTGACCCCTTCAACACATCCCTTGGGTGGTTTGGGACCCTGGAGAAAGCCTCGTGACCCTTAGATGTATCTGGGATTCCCAGATTGCGTCTGAACCTGCTCCAGCAGGTCTGGTTTTGTTTGAGCACCATTAGAATGTAAACTCCAGGAGGGCAGGACATTTCTGCCTGTTTGTGTGCATGTGTTTCTTTAATTTATATATTCTCAGCATGTAAATCGGGCCTGGCACATGGTAAGTGATCAAATAAATTTGTTGCATGAATAAAAGTATGTTTGAGTGGTGTCTGGGGACCCTGGGGGCTGTGTCTTGAGGTCTTGTGGGGAAATCTGAGCATCCTGGGTTATATGTGAACCTTAGAGGGTTTTGCGTCTCCAGCCTAGAATTCAGCTAGTCATGTAGGAGTTGCTCAGAGCTATTTGTCAGATGGATGAATAAAGGAGAGAATGAGGAATGCCGGAAGTCTCCTGGGGTGGCTCTGGGATCTCTGGTCACATTCTGAATCCTTGGGAGTATTCCTGGCAGCCATGTGAGTACATCTGTAGCCCTGGGTGTATATGAGTTCCCTGGAGTGGGTTTGAGATCTCCATGCAATGTGTCTGAAGAATCCCTGGGTATTCCCAGGAGACCCCAGTGTACATCCAGGCCCCTCTAATATCCAGGGCTCCCTGAGATATGAGGGAGCTTTAGAATTGCATGGAAAAATTCTATCATTGTCTCATTGCATCTTTTCCACAAACTTTTTGAAACCTCCACGTACACCTGGGCTCCTGTGGGCTATTGTCTGGGTTCCTTGATGTGGGTCTAGTTTCCTTGAAATGGGTTTTGGGCCCTCTGGGGTGACTGTGGGGTCCCCTAGGTTATTGTCTGGGTCCCTTGAGATGGATCTAGGGCCTCCTAAGGTGGGCTAGGGGTTTCCTGAGCTGAGTCTGAGATCTTTGAGGTAACTCTGGGGTCTCTTAAGGCCTTCTGAGGTAGATCTGGGTCCCTGAGGTGGGTCTAGGGCCCTCTGAGGTAGGTCTGCATCTTTGAGATAGATCTTGGCCCCTGAGGTGGGTCTAGGGCCCCCTGAGTTGGCACTGGGTCTTCTGAGGTAGATCTGGGCCCCTGAGGTGAGTCGAGGACCCTCTGAGGTGGGCCTGAGTCCTCCCAGGGTATTGCCTGGGGTTCTAGGAGGTGGGGAAGTATGTTGCATCTAGACCCCAGAAGGCTTGCAGTGGCGGCCCACCCCCATGTGGGGGAACTGGTCCTGACCGGTTCTCCTCAGGAATGTGGAGTGCCATCATGATCAGAGGCTCCTCACACTGCAGGGCCCAGCCAAGCCGCTCGCTGGCACGCCGCGTCTCCACCTGCAGGAAGTGGTTGGGCATACGGCTCCACGAGACGGGCATCAGCATCTGCACCTCGAGTCTCGGTGGACACTGTGGGGCTGGGTTCTTGCGCTCACTCAGGAACATGGCGGCTGACAGCGGCATGATGTTCTGGGGGCACAGAGGTGCAGGAATCAGGACTCCCAGCCTGCACCTTCCCGCCACCCTGCCTTCAGGGAGACTGCTTCCTCCCCTTAGCTGCTCTGCCAGTCTGACTCCCCACAGCGCCTGCCTGACTCATTCCCACCTACATCACTGCCCTCTGACCTTCAGCTTCCCCAACTCGAACTGGATAACATTCTGGTGAGTGGGCAGAACAAAAGCAGCAGGAAACAGCTTCGTGTTGGGTTCCACCTGGCAAGAGAAGGAGAGGGTGGGGCTAAAGGTGGTGTTAACTCTAGATCCCAACCTCTGGGGTCCCGCTGGCATCTGCAGTCCAAACTTGACCAACCGTGTTTCTGAGGTTGCCCTTGGACTTCACCCTCTGATCCAACAAGGCCAACTTCTACCATCTCCTCCATTGCACCTTGCCATCTGGGTCTTCGTACACATCATATCCCACCACTAGGCATGCCATTCCCCTGTCTCTCCCAAGCATACCCATTCTTCAAGACCCAGAAGGTGATTCTCTGACTACCCTCCTTTCTTCCACGTCTACCACAAACACACCATATAGGAAGTCAACACCAAACCGGAATCAAATCAAACCTCTGGTTCCAATGACGGGTTTACAGGAAATACAGGAGACAGAGGAAAAGGTGAAATGACACAAGGAAGCATTAGCCAGACCCACACTGTGGGAAATGAAGTCAGTGCTTTCTAAACATTAATGTGCATAGGCATCTCCCAGAATAGTACTAAAAATGCAGATTCTGATTGGGCAGAGATGGGAGGGAGCCTGAGAGTCTGTATTTCTCATGAGGTCTGAGGTAATGCCAATGCAGCTGGTGCTAGGGTCACACTGGCAGAGGTCAAGCTTTCTGGGACAAACAGCCTGGCTTCTTCAACAAATAAATATCAAAGAAACAAGAGATGGAGGCTGTAATAGTTAGGGTTCTGTGCCAACTTGACTAAGTCAGGATTTCCAGAGGGCTGGCAGTTGACATGTGCTTATTCCCACGTTTATGAAACCTAATCCAGGAAGAGTTAAGTCTATGATGAGTGGCTATGAGCAGCCAATCAATTGAAGGGATGCTTCCTTGGGGTTGTGACTTGCTCCCAACATAATGGACACATAGGGAAAAGCTCTCTCTCTCTTTTCACTGGGGACCTAGAACTCTACAATTGTAAGCCATTTCCTTGATAATAAACTTCTCTTTATATACATATGTACGTTCCACTGTTATTACTTCTCTGGGAAACCCTGCCTAAGACAGAAAGGAAAACTGTATGACAAAGGACTCAAGGGACATAGAAACTATTAGTATGTTCTTGTTTAGAGTCTGATTCAAACACACAAATGGTAAGATAACATTCTGAGACAATCAGGGGGATTGAAACAGACTGGATATTTGATGATGTTTCAGAATTATTGCTTATTTAAATTTGAAAAAACACTGTGATAAAAGATCTAACCAACGTTTTACATTTTTGGCCATTTTTAAGTGTACAATGAATTCAGTGACCTAATTTACAGTCACCATACTCTGCAACCAACAACACTACCTATTTTCAGAAGTTTTCATCACCTCAAACAGAAAAACCCTTCGGCAACAACACTCCACTCCCCCCTTCCCACCAGCCCCTGGGAACCATTAATAAGCTTTGATTTCTAAACATTTGCCTATTCTGGATATTTCACATAAATGGGGTCTCTTTGACTGATCTCATTCAGCCTAATGTTTTCAAGGTTCATCCATGTTGTAGCATGTATCAAAATTTCTTTTCTCTTTATGGCTGAGTCATGTTCCATTGTAAGTATTGTAGTGGTGGTGGTGGTGGTGGTGGTGTACCATGGAGTTGGTTCCAACTCATAGAAACCCCATATAGGGCTTCTTCCTGGGAGCAGAAAACCTCATCTTCCATGGAGCGACTGGTAAATTCGAACTGCTGACCTTGCAGTTAGCAGCCCAGGTCATAATCCACTACACTACCAGAGCTCCCATTCTAAGTATAGATCACATTTTGTTTATCCATTCATCTTTCAATGAACACTTGGGCTGCTTCTACTTTGGGGCTATTGTGAATAACGCTGCAGTGAAAACTGATACATAAGTGGTTTTGTTTTTAGGAATTTTTTTTTTTCTTATGTGATATACGTTTTAAAGGAATCCATATTGTTTTTAGAGATACATACTGAAAAGACATGAAACAATATGATATCAGGGATTTTCTTTTAAATTCTCCTGAGGGTGTGAGAGGAAAGGAGGCAGTAAAGAGGTGAAACATGGACAGTGACCGGGTAATAGATGAAGCTGTGTGATGGGGTCATGGTGGTTCATTACACTACTCTAGTTTTGTGTTGTTGTTGTTGTTAAGTGCCATCCAGTTGGTTCCAACTCAATAGCGACTCTGTATAGGGTTTTCAAGGAGCGACTGGTGGATTTGAACCGCCAGTCTTGTGGTTAGCAGTCCAGTGCTTATTCTACAATGCCACACCAGAAGTCCTATTTTTGTATATATATTTAAAAACATATAGTGACATTGGGATGTGGGGAGTAGGGTGAGAGGAGGGAGGGGCTGGTGGAGAACAGGGTAGGGAATAGACACAGGATAGTTTGGGTGCTAGGGAGAGGGGGCAATACACAAGAAGCGGGAGGGGAATGGAAGAACAAGGTGAATGGGAGAACAATTAAGCAGGTTTGCAAGGGCTAAGTGGGACAAAGGTAAATAATGATGTATGCACAACCTTGGAACAACAGGGCTCTGGGATACAGGGCTTGAGACATGGTTGGAATGGGCAAAAGGGGGAAAACGATGTTAAGATGCTTGGCTATCTTTTGAATCTTGGTTTCCCTGGCATACTATTATAAAATAGACACTTGAGGAGGAGAGAAAGGAATAGCCAGAAATATCACCATAGAAAGTCTGTAAGTCTGTCTTCTGCCTAAATGATTGGAATACCAAAAATGGGGCTACAACGTGCCCAGTGAAGGAAACTTCCTGTGGAACCTCTGCATTACATAAGACCATAGGTGGAATCCTGAACCTCACCCAGAATCTTCTGAGGTGGGAAATTTCCACTTGAAAGGACAAGCGGACCAGCCTGGAGTGACTAGAAGAACAGAAGATACTTTTTGAACGAAAGACCAACAGGGAAAATATAAAACAATAACGGCAGTCTGACTGATTACTACAAGAACAAGCAAGTTGCTTGCCCAGGAGACATCAAGGCAAGTGGTCAGGTCCCCTCAGGGCAAGACTAAGACTCAATGGGAATACAAGAGTAGACATGCACTCTGATTGGTAACCACATTCATCACCGATAAGGGGAAATAAGGGAAAAACAGCAATGAAGCTGCGAGCTAAGCCCTACAATGTTCAATAGACTCCTGTGTACCCTGGTGGAGACCTGGTTGGCCAGCAGTGTTTCAAGACCTGGGGGCTCTTGGGCCCAGAGTCAGTGACATAGCCACAGATGACTAGAGTGGAGAGTGAAGCGTCCAGCTGATAAGAAGAGAGGGCATATGTATAAAAACATCCACATTTGCAGATAATACCCACTTGATCTGTCCTCAATGACTGGATGATCAGAGCTCAACTAGAAGAAGAAAGAAGAGGGGGAAAAAAAGTAATCTGATACAATTTGATGAACCTGACCTACACCTATGGATGCAGTAGCTCAAAAGAGGGAACAAATCTTTACAGCGAGGATCATTGCCACCCCCTCCATACACAGAGTAGACAGGGATGGGCAAATTGGACATTGGCTACCCAAAATTGGGGGCTACAAAGGCAAGAAGTGACTGGCTTAAAAGCTTTCAAGATGGAGCCTAGATCCAGAGGGCGTGGA